CCCGCCCCCCGCACGTGCCACCCCCCCGCGCGCTCCCGCCGCCATCTCGCTGAGGGCCGGCTGGGCCCCGGCCGTGAGGGGGGAGATTTCTGTCCCATACCCCACCTAACGCTGTCCTCTGGCAGTGGGAACCCATTCCCTCTTGTCCTGTCATTCCATCCCTTGTCCCGGGTCTCTCTCCAGCTCTCCTGGAGCCCTTTTAGGCACTGGAAGGGAAGTCTCCGCGGAGCCTTCTCCAGGTGAACACTCCCAGTTCTCTCAGGCTGTCCCCACAGCAGAACTGCTCCATCCCTCTGATCATCTCCCTGCCTCATCTGGACTCGCTCCAGCAGCTCCATATCCTTCCTGTGCTGAGGACTCCAGACCCAGGCACATCTCCAGGTGAGGTCTCATGCGAGCAGAAAGGGAGAATAACGAGGGGTGTGTGTGGAGATGAGCTCACCCCATCCCACAGTGGTCACAGCAACAACCCTGCCAGAGCTCAAGGAGTACTTGGACAGTGATCTCAGGTACTGGGTGGGGTTGTTGGGTGTACTTTGCAGGGCCAGGAGTTCAACCTGATGGAACCCTTTCAGCTCACGATATTCCATGTTTCTATGACTCTCCCCAAACTGGCACCTGCCCCTGAGGAGGAGGAACCTTCTCAGGTCGGGGCTGGAAGAGACAGAGCCACAGCTCCCAAACACAATCAAATCCTGCTTATCCCAGGGTGGATCAGCCCTTCACGAGGGACTCACTCGCCCTATCACTGCACTGTATTGTTTGATTTATTATGTGACTTCTTATACACCTGTGAACCACACCTTGAGCAAATACTCCCCAAACTGTACTCTCTAATAAGGTACAAGGGGATCACCCAGCCAAGTGACACTGGAAGTCATCCTCACCTCTCAGCTTCCCCCTCTCCCACCAGCTCTGAAAATCTGTGCAGTGCTTGGTGAATCTTGGGGGGCTTTGCAGCTCAGGGTGAGTGGCCCCTGTTTGTCAGGCCATGTGCTGGGGAGTTGTCACCATCCAATGACAGTCCTTGGTGCAGTGGCTCTATAGAGGAAATGATGCCAACACTGCCAACTTTGGGGTATCAGAGTGGCTGAGCAGCTGGTTCTGGGGCACTGGGGTGTGTGGCACCAAGAGTGGTGGAGGAGAGGGATGTGGGAGATTGGCTGGAGAACATTTTGCACCTTCAGAGCCTCCTTTCAGGTTCTCCCTAAGGCCCAGCTGCCCCTTTGCCTGCTGGTATTGAAGTAGCATCACATTTACTGCCGCTTTGTCTTTTCCTGCCTGCTTATCACTTCCAGCTGTGAGTGTCCCCTTATCTGAGCAGGCATTTCAGGAAGCTGCAGTGCTATTTCTGATCAGCAATATATCTTGAAATGTTCTGCTGTCTCAGACTGAGGAGACCAGCCTGACACTGCTCAAAAACAACCAACCCCCAGACCATCAAATGTCAGAGCTCCCAAGGCTGCAGCCCACAGAGTCAGAGCACTTTTCCTAAAGACCTGTACAGCACGACTTGGCATCAAAAGCCACCAAGTTACACAAGGCTTGCAACATCTACTTTATAAATATATATTTAGAATAAAAACAAAACGTATTTATTTATAAATAAATATTCTGAATTTCCCATCACAATGCAACTTTCTGTTCCTCATTTACTGCTAAATTTCCTCAGAAGAAAACAGAAGAAAAAATAAAGCACTATTTCTGTCTTCTTGCTACAGAATTTACACCAGCTTGTAACTACTTTGTGTCCTAATTGTGGTGGTTTCCCTTTTGTTCAGGTCATAAAAGCTGGATGAGATTTTGGTGAGTCCCAACTGATCCTTTTCTCTGCTATGCAGCCCTGCCTATAATTCCCATTTTCCATCACTTGTTTTCTCCTGCTACCAGAAGGTCACCTTGGCATTTTCCCCTGACACTGGGCCAACTCTCTGGGGCATTCCCAAGGGCCCTGACTGTCCTTCCACCTACCAGGACTGTGTGTTTGCCTCAAGGGCTGGCACTGACCCTCAGTTTTTTTCTCATGGGAGCTCCTCAGAAAGAAGTTCTCACCCCTCAGCAGCCCAGCCCAGGAACTCCTGCAGTTAGAAAGGAGAATGTCTTCCAGGAAGGACATCTGGTCTGGAGATATCATTCAGCCTCCACTTCCCCCATTGCAAGGGCACTGAACTTCAAATTCTGCTTTTGTCACAACTTCTATGTCTCATCTGGTGGCATAAATTAAAAAAAAATCAACAGCAATTCAAGTGCACTGGCTCATCACGTGCAGGGTAGGGATTGTTCATGGTATTGTTATTCCTATTTATCTTGTTATGAAAGAAGTTGCAAAGGAGGTTTGTGACAAAGCTGCATCAGTGAGGCCAGAAAATTCAGTGTTTGTCATGGTGGTGCTGGGGTGGGCTTGGCCCTGAGCAGGGGAAAGAGGGAAGGGAAGGGGAAGGGGAAGGGAAGAAGTTTCACACTGCCAGCCCAGCCCTTTCTGCAGTGTCATGCTGAGGAGGTGCTGTCCAGCCCTCTGCCACAGGTGTTCAACAGCCCTTAGAAAATCAGCACTGTTTAAACATTAAAGGCTTGCTTTAAAAATTCATCAGTAAAGTTCACCTGCCTTTCCAAGCCCTACTTAAAGCAGTGTGAAGGTATATTCCACTCTTTAAACCTGGGCTTCAGTCCAGGTGTCACTGAGTGGAGCTGAGAGAAAAAAGAGGCTCCACACACAGGGACAGACACACCAGCCTACTCCACTGCGCTGTTCTGGGCTGGAGCTCACCTCTGCTACCTCCACACATCACTAAAGACACCTTTTAAGCACTTCATCTTACTGTGTTTCACCAGAGCTGAGTAAAATCTGGATCTGCTGTTCTGAGAGCCAGGAAAGTTGAAAGAAATATTGAGGTTTTCCTCACTGTAAACAGACCAGCAGTATCCAACCCCACAGCACTCACAGACCCTCTTGTGCCAGGAGGTTGCCCCCACATCCTGTGGATCCCTAGGGCTTTGCCTTCCCCATACCACTCTCAGTCCCGTTTGTTATTTGGTGCAAAAGTGAGATGAAATGTGCTGCCCAAGGTCACACAGCGAGATGGCAGAGATCAGTGGCAGGGATGAAACTAGAGACCAGTAAACTGAGATTGTGTTCCTTTCCCCGTGGGACTGCAGATGAACAATGTGCTAATGGCCCTGCTACATTCACCTTCCGAGGTAATGCCGAGGTGGCTCCCTGCCCTGCCTTCCCTGCTTCTGCAGCTTTTAAAATAGATACCCCAATCTTGGTTTGGTTTATTTTGTGAGGCAGAGGGGTCTCCCACCCTCTGACCCACCAGCAGCTAAGAACTGAATTTCTGCTTTGCATAAGAGAAATACAAACTAAACCCATCCCATCAGTGATATTTAACCCCCAAAGCTTCCAGCTCAACAGCTGATCCCACTGATGCTCTTTAAATGCATCTTTTTGAGTTCCGAGTTTTGAGTTTTTCACCTGCAGTGTGTTGACATGCCCTGTTTTTAGGGTGTCTCTCTGCATTTTGGCTACTAAAATATTTACCATATTCCAGTCTATCATAGAATCATGGCAACACAGAATGGTTTGGGTTGGAAGGGACCTTAAAGCCCATCACATTCCATCCCCTGCCATGGACAGGGACACCTTCTGTTATCCCAGTTTGCTCCAAGCCCCGTCCAACCTGGCCTTGGGCACTTCCAGGGATCTAGGGACAGCCACAGCTTCTCTGTGCCAGAGCCTCACCACCCTCATAGGGAAGTTTTTCCTGATATCTAATCTAAACCTACTCTCTGTCAGTGTGAAGAGTTCTCCTTTGTCCTGTTAGTACATGCACTTGTAGCAACCCCCCTCCATCTTTCATATATGATCCCCTTAGGATCTGGCCACTCAGGAAGATCTAATATCATTCAGGTCTCATTTTTATCACAAATACTCCTCCTCATTTCTGTACAGTCATTCTGATACCCTTTGAGGCAGATTCTCTGAGACAAACACAGCACATTGCGACAGCAGCACATCTCCACAACCTAACAAGCAAGCCAAAAGTATTGCAAATTAATCCAAAGAATTCAGCTCTCTTGCAGAGTGCTAGACAGGCTTTGTGTGAATGAAGAACATCCTATTTAAATAACTTCTCTTTCTGTGCTGTTTGTTCCTTCATGCATTTCCCCTTATGCTTCTCGGTAGCTCTCTGAGGAGATGTCACCCCTTGCCTTGCTGAGTTCTGCCTGATTCCCCTTGCCTGGGAGTAAAGCCTGACACAGGTTTGTTATTCTGGGTCACCAAAATCAGCATCACCTCCAGGAGCACAGCTCTCATCAGAACTTAGCAGAGGTGGCGTTAGGAACAACGGGGTTCACAGAGAGAGGGAAGTCTGCTGGGCTAGGAGCAAAGGCAAAAGGAATATGGTAAATTCAAAGGAAATATTGGACATCAGCTGAGAAACATGAAAGCTTTGGGAAGCATGCAATGCTTGATCCTTGTTTGATGTGAGGCTCTCCAGTGGCTGATGGGAACATGGAGGATTTCCTTTCCAGAGGGGCTGTCAGTAAGCTGAGAGCAAAGAGCTATTTGGGCTATTTAAAAGGTTAAGAACTTCACAGCTCTTTTGGAAATAGACAGCTCAGGAGGCCCCAAATACTTGGGACAGCATCCCCTTGTTTCCACCCCTTGCCAGGTGCCAGCACCAACTGCACAGTGGTTATCTCATCCAAACCCTCACCCACTGTGATGCTCTAATACAAAATCTCCTTTCTTGGGATGTTAAAATAGAGATCTATTGAATAATACAGACTGTGGAAGCAGCATCAAATTTCTCTTTCAGACCAGATGACTGGTCCCTGCTGGGTCAGTGGTCTGTGCCTTTCCAGCACTCAAGGAGGTGGAGCTCAATACTTGTATTTTGAGAAAAGTATTCCATGATTGTCAGAGGTGGTGTTGAAACTTGTGTTGATTTCCACAACAGATTGTTGATTTTCTAGCTGATTAAGTGCAACCTAAACAGGTGTGTTTTCCCCATAACTTTCTCCTTTTCTCCCAAGTGTCTCAAGTGGCATGGGGTATATGAAATAACACAGCCCAAGACCTGCTCCTTCACAAAATCCTGTCTGTGCTGTTCCCTGACCAGTGTGACAAGCAGTGGCTGGAGACATCTCCCTAGGATGCCACCTCCAGCCAAATGCTTTTGGAGAAAAGCATCTGCCAGGAGCAGATTGGGATCTGCTGGGTAACCCCAGGGGAACTGGAGGTGTTTTTCCACAGTCAGGGTACACCAGACTGGAGATACTGGATTTTGCTTTGTGTACCTCCTGTCTGTGTAATACAGGAGATGAGAACAGAGCTCTAGGGCCAAACCCACAGGTAACACCAGGATTTGCTATCATTCCATCACAGCAGAGAGCATTGGGGAATGAGCTATTAAACACAGGGTATCCCAAGATGAATATTTTCTTCTTCCTGGGAATATTCCTTGTAAGCAGTCCAAAAGTATATCTCCTTTTAAAAGAAGTCCTTTAATTTATATTCTGAGGTATGCACTCCCAAGATTTAATTTACCCCAAGCTATGAAATTAAGCTTACCCAAAATTTCAGTCTGGTTATTTATTTGATATATTCACCACACAGTTGCTGGTTTAGCAGTGCAGTGATACCTCGAGTGCAAGAGATACTGGTGAGGGTCATGATTTTTCCTCAGCCTTTAATTTAGACAATAAAGGATCCACACGCTTTGAACCCTCACAAAGAAGATTTGAAGTAATCTTAACAAATTATTTGTAAAAGCCAGATTGTACCCCATTTTCCTGCAACTTCTCAATGCATCACCCCAGGAGCTGCCAAAATAAGAGGGAGGAAAAATGGTCTCAAGCTGTGTCTTTGTCTGTGAGACGCTGAACGCAGCAGCTGCAATCAGAACCCAGAGAGCAAACTCCTTGTGAGAAGCGTTTCCATTTTATTTTCCAGACCTCTGCCCATCTCAGATCTGATCCCCATTCATTGCTGTCTCAGTCTTGCACCGTGTGGATCTCATTTCCCAGTGACACCAGGGACCTTTCCTGAGCTATGTTCACTATGCCCACCATGTCCTGCCCCACATTCCAGGGAGGTCTCGGTGTCCACGCTGTGACCGGAGCACCCTGCTGGCCGTCCTGCACTCTGGCCAACAACTGCTGAGGTGCTGCTTCCCCCTTCAAGCACTGCAGCTGGGATAAGCTATACAAAAAGAATAAAAAGAGAATTACCTACCCCAAGACAGCTAGGACACTACAGATTAAGCTGCTTTGATTACAGCCACTAAATAGACTTTGGTTTTTCATCTGAAATACCAAAAGGGATCTGTTGGAGACCCCTGAGTCCCTCAGGTACATTCATGCTACCCAGAATACAAGCTCTAAAAGGCTGCCACTGAAATCCAGGCCTCTGTAGCCTCTTGAGAATATTTTTCCTATAAAGCTGCAAAACCATGAGCAAAAAGCCTTGTATGGTAACTCAGAGGTAGACACGCAAGGGAGGTGGCTGAAAAAGTCTTGGATAGTTAGGAAGAATTAGTCTTGTGTCAGAAAGCTTGTTCTCAGTCTGCTTGGCCTGGAAGCTGAGGTGCCTGGGGGTGTCTTTCCCTTCTCCCATGGCATGGGTGGCCGTGCTTGGGAGCACCACCAAGCCATGGGATATTTATGTTGGCTTCTTAGGCAGTTCTGTTGGGCTTGGTGACTGTGGTTGGTCACTCTTGGTCTGGCCTGCAGGAGGGGGCCACGTGGTCTTCTGATGAAGGTGGCTGAAAAGGAGAAACATGCCTTAGGTAGTTTGGGAGAAGGACACAGAGGATAATGTGAAGACAGCACTCGTAATTTAGGAAAAAAGAGGAAGCCACAGATCTTGCCTGGTTAGACTGTGCAGGCTGCCTGTTTTGTCTGAAAACGCTTTTCATAACCTTGAAATTATCATTTGCAAATGGGTACTTTGTACCTAAACAAAGAACTGTGCTGGCAGATCTTCATGTTGAGTTAAGCTAAGAAAGTGCTAGGAGATATTTAGGTCTCAAAGTGCCCTTTCAGATAACTTTAGGAAATGGCTCTGTTAAACATAAGGCATTTAAGAGGTTTCAGGGAAATTTAACAGTTTCAGGTCCAAACAAAGCCGTATCATCCTGCTCTCCCTGTCTGGAGCTTCACAGCATCTCGATATCACAGCATGAAAGATTAACATATTCAGTGGTGCTTTTTGCCTTACACAGGGTGCACTATAAAAATGGCAGCTAGACAAGCCACAGAACCACAAATTCCCATCTGGCCCAGAGGAAAACCAGCATTTTGTAACGCAAAAGAGAAATCCAGGAATTCACACCTTACAGGGCAGAAGTCTCTTTCTGTCTAGGAAATTCACAGTATTTCTCTGTCATGGCCATCTGGAGGCCTCTCCTAGCCTGTCTGATCAAAAACTGTCAAGCAACAGTTTCGGTTAAAAAAACCCCAACAAAACAAACGGGAATTTTTAGTATCTGTGTTGTCCAAATTACAGACCACAGCAGTTTTGACACCTACTCCTTGTAATTTGGGATTCCTTCAGCAGGCAGGCACTGGTCCCTGTCCCATGGCAGAGCTGCAGATGGAAGCACAGAGCCAAGTGTTAGTGCAGAGAACATGCCCAATGCTGCTGCATTATGATAATGCACATTTAAATGGGGCAGGAGCTCAGAAAATGCTGACAGTGCTTGTAAACCAGAGGTGCTCCTGAAAGGCTGCAATTATTTCCTTTGTGTCTTGTGCTTTGAGACAAAGCCAGTGCTGGGCTGTGGCCACACTGAGCTGGTGAATAGCACCTGTTTGGGGCTGTGCATTCACCTGAATGTGACACTGAGGAGGTCAGACTCTCATTTTGTGTGGGAAGAGTCAAATAATTGCCACCAAGAAACATTTATGGCTCATGGACCAGCTCAGAGTCCCAGACTGGGAAAGTTAATCCAGACTCCCATGGAGCTCAATGTCTGTTCCCTGATTTTCTCACAGATGTGAGGAAAAAGGAGCATGGCTGGTTTTTACTCCAAGGAAATGAGGAGATGACTGCTCTGTTCTGCTCAGCATTGATGTAGCTGTGCCTGAACAGTGTAAGGAAAGTTTGGATCCTGGGTTTAAAGCTGTTGGGAAACTGGACGGGGTCCAGCAAGGGAACCCCAGGCCTGCAGGGAGAGGCTGGGGAGGGCTGAGGGAGCTGGGCTTATTTAGCCTGGCAAAGAAGAGCCCAAGAGGCAACTTCACAACCCCCACTGCTGTGTCAGGGGCAATTAAAGGATGCTGGAGCTAAGCAGTGCAGCCAGTGTAACCAGGGGCAGTTGCCACAGGCTGCCCCTGGGGGCTGCCCTGGGTGCTGGGAAGGTCCTTGTCACATAGCAGTGAGGGAACACCATCCAGGAAGGCTGTGGATCTCCATCCTGGCTGGCTAAACCCACTGCAGATCCCCTCTACTGGGATAGCCCTACCTGGAGCAGAAGATCTGGTCTCCAGCAGTCCCTTTCAACCAGCATTTCAATGATTCTGTGAAACCATTCTCCTGCCTGTTTCTTTTCCCTGGATAAACACCTTTCCTTTGGCCCTGGGCACAAGTCTTTGACTCCATACCCTGTGAGTCTGCATTGCAGATTCAAAGATGAGTCACATGGATATAGGGAGGGCAATTACATCTCAGTGAGCATGAGAGAATCAGGGAGGCTCAACTGGTATGGAAAAACAAGGGAGGTGCTGGAAACTGTCAATAACACTGACAGAAATCCCTGAGACTTGCTGGGATTCAGCTTTCTCCGGTTAATTTAGTGCTTACCGTCCTTGTTGGAGAGCATTGGTGCTAACAGTTCTTTAGCTTCTGATAGCAAAAGGTCAACAAGATCTGAAGATGGAAGAGATGTGTCTGAGACTGCATCTGTTTTATCCTCTTCTGTTTCATGGTTGACGCTTATAAATACGGAAAGTGCCATCAATACTTCTGTCAGAGAATGGTCATTGACAATCCTGGCCAGCCTCTTAGGAAGGATGTGCTACATAAATTCTGCGTGTTTGGGGGGTTGCATGTCCATCCCTCTGCATTTATGTGTCTGTTAGACACACTTGCATTGCTTTGTTACAGACAAATAGCAAAGTATTCTTTAGAATTTGTTAAAAGCATTTCCCCTGCATTATATTAGAAATAACCAACTTGGAAACTTAAAAACTGATTTCCTTCCCTCTTAAAAACTGGTCTTTAAAGGGACTGGTCATTATTGATGGGACAACCACTTTTCAATGATTTAATCAGTTAAAAACACACACAGAGTTGTGATACATTTTTGCCCAAGTGGCAGGAGATAGGCTCAGGTTGGAGGGGAGTCCAGAAGCCTGAGCTCTATTTCTGCAGCCTTTCATGCAGCTGAGAGTCTTGAGAGCTCCTTGCTTACACTCTATCTACTCTAACTGCTGATAAAAAAGGATGTGGTCCTGGAGCCAAAACCCAGTTTATGTTTGGAAAATCAGGTGGGTCAAAATTCTGCTGCTCTGAAACCTGCCTGGGGTCTCTGCTGACAAGAGCAATTTAACCCAAGCAGAGTTTCAGCTGCTTACTCCCAAAAAAAGCCTGAACAGAGGCCAAAATCCCCCAACACCAACCCACCAGCAGCCTCAGATCATCTTTCTCCCATGGTTTCACTTCTAGAGTGAAAGTATGTTTAGAAACTCTGGGTAGGTTACGTGTGAAGCACCTTCCCCTGAGAAATGTCAGAAAAGGACATTTCATGTTGCTGTTCAACATTCCCAGAAGCCATCTCCTACCTTTTCTCATCTGGTAAATGACTGTGTGTGCTCAGGACCTTGTGAATGTTCTGTCATGCAACAGAAAAAACAAAACAAAAACAAAAAGAAAAACAAAAAGAAAAAAAGAAAAAGGTTTCAAACTTGGAGGAATGAATAATTCCTGAGAACAAACCCCATGGGTTTTTTCTGATGATCAGATTTAATATGACAGTAATCAGCTTCTGCTTATTCATTGCCCTTGAAGCGAATATCTCAAGGCCTTTTTCAGCTCAGGCAGTATTCATGAACCTACAGACACATCTGAATTCTGCATTTTAATACTGCTGCTAAAATATATGAAATGCAACACAAAAATCCTCTTCCAAGGAATAATTTTGCAGGCTGCATTTCAGTGATCATTGCTGCCAGCAAGCCCTGGCTCCTGGAGCTGCACGTGTAAGCTCTCATTACCATGCACTTCTCCAACACTACTGAGGGCTGGAGAAAAGGAAGATATTTTGCTCCAGTGCTCAAAATCCTGTGATGTTTGACCCTGGGGTCAAGTGAGATATATTTCCAAAGTCTGACCCCAAACTGCACAGGCCCTAGCACATAGGCTGAAGCTCTGGGGGCATTTAATTCTTCCTTCTCTGGGGCAGAGGACACAGTGTCTACATTTCCTTTTGCTCCACTGCTTCTGCTTGATTTCAAGAGTTCTTGGGACAGGCCACCAGTAGCCAAAGCAGATACCCTGAGTACTAATCCTTCCCATGCTGGCCAGTTTATTAATTACACATACTGGTGTTCCCAATATGGGGAATGAAGTGGAAAAACTGCCAATTGAAAGACTAAACTGTGAGATTTTGCAGGAAATCCAGGGAGGAAAAAGCACTGGAAGAGCAAGGCCACTCTCCTGGCTCCTGTTTATAGAGAAGCAACCCTCAGCTATTGCAAGGGAAGGTGAGCAGGGATGATTTTGACAGCAAAGTTCCTGGAGCAGCCTCAACAGAGGGAGCCAGGCAGAGCAGAGCCACCAGCCAAACCTGCACCACGGAGTTTGCATCGCTACCAGGGATATGAGGAGCTCTGAGTTCATTCCCTGCTTCCTCCTAATCAACAGACAGTGACTTTTTCAGGTGAGACAGGAAAAAAAAAACCCCTCTCTTGCTTATGGAGCAGGAAGTTGATTGGACTTGCAAAACCACCCTGAAGGAAAGAGGCCGTGGTGATGCTGCAGCACCGGGGCAGTTCCACACCTCACCTGCACAAACAGGAGCAGCTTCCTATTGCAGATCTCCAGGCGCTTCCGTGACACTTCGGATTTTCGTAGCTGGCCATCAGCCAGGGACAGCTGCCTCTTCAGCTCCAGGATGTCCTCCTGAGGCAGGGACACAAGAGGAGGAGAAAGGTGGTGGTGATGCTCCAGCTTCAGCTTTTGGAAACAACAGTTTGTGACCTTTGCTACAAAAAGGAAAAGCAGTGTCCTTTGGGGACAGTGGAAGTTATACAAATTATAACAGATCCAGAGACTGTGTTGGCCTTGTGGTCCCACACAGCAAATGATCTATGTGCTGTTTCATTTTCTCCTGTGTAAATTGAAGGAGGGTAGCCTTAGTTGTGGCTGCCCCATCCCTGGAAGTGTCCAAGGCCAGGTTGGATGGGGCATGGAACAACCTGGGACAGTGGGAGGTGTCCCTGCCCATGGCAGGGAGGTGGAATGAGATGGGCTTTAAGGTCCCTTCTGGCCCAGATCATTCCATGACTCTCTGAGCCCACAGAAGGAGAGTCTGAGGGGTTGTGGGTTTTTCCCCAGACCGAGGGGTTGCGTTACCTCTATTTCAGAGACGTGCTTTGCTTTTTTCCCTGCCAGCTGCATCTTCAGTTCTGCAATTTCAGCCTCCAGCAGGTGGATCACTTCCTCGTAGTCCTGCTCTGCGCTGTGAGCCTGTCTCTGCACCACCTCAGCCATCTGCAGTTTGCTGTGTAGGGTCCGGTTCTCTGACAGGAACCCCAGCGCCTTCTGCAAGCACCCAGAACTTCTGATGAACACACCACATCCCCCTCAGCTGCCAACCCCAAACCCACCCCAAACACCCCAGAAATCCCTTCACTAACTTGGTTCAGCCTCTGGAGCTCATCCTCCATCAACTTCTTGCTGCTCTCCACTTCTCTCAGGAGAGACTGTGGGAAATATTTTCACCAGATTAGAAGCAACAAATGACAAGACATTTTCTAGAATGCCCCTATGCACCAAAATATTATTTTACAGAAGTCTATGCACTTTGCTCCCCCACAGGGAGAGCTTATAGGGCTGTGACCTGCAGAATTCCAGCTGGACACAGCTGAGGTGCTCAGAGCCAGGTGAGGTTGAGAGGACAGGCATTGCTTCTGTTAATCACACACTCTTAATGAGACCTGGTTTTAAATATATTAACTCCCTGCTCAGATGGGACTGCATGCTTTGAGTACAAATAAGTGTTCCTTTGAGGTTGAGAGCGAGAAAGAGGCAATTAAGGAGAGTGGAGGGTGAGAGGCTCCTGTGTGACGAGGAATGCACAGAATGCAAACTGGTGACTTCTCCAGAGGGATGGGCCACCCCATTACCCCCATGGAGAGCTACAGCAGAACACCCCAGCCAAGAAATCCGCTCCAAGGGGAGGCTCCACCTTCAGCCTGCGGACTTCGTGCCGCAGATCCCTCATCTCCAGCTGCAGCTGCTCCAGGTCCTCGCTGCCATTGCAGTTGAGAGAGTCAAAAGTCTGCAAGGAGAGGGACAGACTCATCACACATTGAATCAAAATCGCCTCAAAAAGAAGTCAGCATTTTTATGCAATAGATCAAAAGGCACATTAAATAATTCAGTTCCAGGATGGTTCATTTTGCCCCACAGAATTTCACTCTCTGATCCCTCATCATTGCTGAAATAGCTAGAGTGAATTTTCACTTCATGAACCAAGTGAAATTACTTAGAATTGATTAATTATGGCTATTTTTCCTTCTGCATAACTGCCATGCTGCTTCCTCATATTATCCCACAGACACTGTTATTTCCTTATTAAAAATGAGAAGTTTGAAGTCTTTTATAGAATTACCTATTAAAAAATGATTAATGAATAGTTCTGCCTTGTCTTTCTAACTCTAGAACAAGCAGAAGATGGTTATTTAGCTTTTCCCATCTCAGAATCCCATGGATTTCATGTAGAAAATCCATGGATTCAATGTAGAAGAGCTTTGGGGTGACTGACCGGGGAGTGAAAAGCTGATGTATCCAGCAAATTGGCCACTTCATGTTGAGTGAAGAGCACAGAGCTGGAATCCAGACCAGCCTCATCCAACTCCTCCTGCATCAGATCCCTGAGTGCTTGGAGAACATCTGTGAGAAACAAGCAGTTTATACCAGGCTAAAAGAGAAAATTGCTGTGTGTTAGGAGAAAATGGCACTGATTTTGGGGCCATCCACTGGCACTGAGCAGGGTTGAGAGATGCCAGACAGGTTTCTCTGATAATCCTGGGTTCATCAGCAATCCCAGCAAGCTCAAATGAGTTACTGACAGTCTTTATCGGACTCCTGTCTCTTATCCAACTGAAAAAACCTACATTTCTAAAACCCAGAAAACCCCAGATATTTTCACAGGGGAATTTTCACCACTATGGTTCTGAAAGTTTTAAAATTTTAAGCTAAACCCACATTTCCCTGACAAAAGGCACTTGCTGACATTTGTCATGTTGCTGATTTAAACAAAAAGACAACCCAGCGAGTGCAGCACTTGGAAAAGGTGTTAAATTGACAAGTCTGAAAATCCACATTCATTTTGCTTTCAGACATGAAGGAAAGCACAGCAGAAGAGGCTGCGTGGGACAGGTGGGAACCATCAGGGAGGTGGCACAAAGGTCCCAGAGCTTCCAGTCACAGAATCACAGAAGCATGGAATGGTTTGGGCACAAAGGGGCCCTGAAGATGATCCCATTCCATCCCCCCTGCCATGGGCAGGGACACCTTCTGCTATTCCAGGCTGCTCCAAGCCCCATCCAGCCTGCCCTTGGACACTCCCAGGGATCCAGGGGCAGCCACAGCTTCTCTGGGCACCCTGTGCCAGGGCCTGCCCACCCTCCCAGGGAACAATTCCTTCCCAATATCCCATCCATCCCTGCCCTCTGGCACTGGGAAACCATTCCCTGTGTCCTGTCCCTCCATCCCTTGTCCCAAGTCCCTCTGCAGCTCTCCTGGAGCCCCTTTAGGCCCTGCAAGGGGCTCTGAGGTGTCCCCCGGGCTGGAGGCAGCTCTGCAGGTGGGGTCTCACCTGAGGGGGCAGAGGGGCAGAATCCCCCCCTTCCTGCTGCTCACACCAGGGCTCAGCCCAGCCCAGGGGGGTTTCTGGGTGCTCACAGGCAGGGCATGGCCAGCTCTCATCCTCCAACACCCCAAATCCTTTCCCCAGGGCTGCTCTCCATCCCTTCTCTACCCAGCTTGGATTTGTGCTTGCGATTGCCCTGACTCAGGTGCAGAACATGCACTTGGCCTTGTTGAACTTTGTGAGGTTCACATGGTCCCATCCTGAAGCCTGTCCTGGATGGTGCTCAGTCCCTGGGCTGCAGCAGGAGCCAGTGTCTCTCTGCAAAAGCAGCACATTTGCTAAATACCCCCAAACATCCTTTTTTCTGTTACCAGAAATGACAATGCCAGTCACTGGTAGAAGAGGGCCATGATTCTGTGTCCCATCCCTCACTCTGCACAGAGCATTGATCCAGATGCCTTGTGACTGTTCTCTCTGCTGGGGACATTGCTGATGGTCTTGGATTTTTGCTGAAAGTTTTCTGTGGAGCAGACCCTGTGGACCAGCCATGCTCTGGAAGGCCACAGAAGGCTTTCATTTTCTGTGTCCCCTCTGGCCAGTTCCTGCTAGGAAAGGTGGGATTTTAAGGAAAGTAAGCCCTTGCACCAACTTTCTTTTAGTTTGATTTTATGATAGGACAATGGAAATGGCTTTAAACTGATAGAGAGTAAGTTTAGATTAGATGTTAGGAAGAAATTCTTCCCTGTGAGGGCAGTGAGGCCTTGGCCCAGGTTTCACAGTGAAGCTGTGGCTGATCCATCCCTGGAAGTGTCCTCTTGGACAGGGCTTGGAGCAGCCTGGGATAGTGGAAGGTGTCTGGTGGAATGAGATGAATTTTGAGTTCCCTTCCAACCCAAACCATTCCAGGATTCCATGATTTTACAGAATGCCTTCCTTTGTGCCTGCGACTTTCCCTCTTTACAGGCTCCATCACTACCCAGTGTCTCTCCTGCCACTTCTGTCCCTTTTTGTCTGAAGCTACCCAGAAAGGTCAGGTCCCCCCTGGGCAGAGCTCCCACTCACCTCCGTAGGCCACAGTCCCCTGCGAGTCCGTGGTCAGGCTTTGTCGGAGCTGCCTCTTCTTCTCCTCAGTCACATCCAGACCAAGATACTGCAGAACCTTGAGCAGAAACAAGGAGCCTTTGAAAAGAAAAATACTGGAAAAGCAAATCTTTGGCGTAAGCACTGGGAAGACACTTCTGGGTTTCTCCAGGCAGCATCTCCCAAAGGAACAGGCTTGGATTGGATTTCCAGTCTCTCCTTTGCTGCACACGTACAGAAATGTCTGTTCCTGAGTACAGGTTCGCATCCCTCCAAGAACATTTTATCTGCAATCAGATTTGCAGCTCTGATGAGTTTTCAGGACTTTTATCAAAAGCCAGTGGAATTTTAGCAAGGACTCAGCTGGCAAGAGCTCTGCCTCTCCTTTCTCTTTCTGCCCAGAAACTGTGTTTGGGACCAGGAAGATAAAAGCTGTTAACAGAGTATTTCTCATGGAGAGAGGAGACATTCAAACATTTTGCTCCTCCACTGCATGTTTTGCTTTCTCATTACTCCTGACGCCCTAACTAATACTGATAATCATCAATTCAACCTCAGGGCAGCACAGGAGCAGATAAACTGTGCAAGCCCCACTTCCCTGCCGGCAGCAGCAGCTGAAAGCTTTTAAAAGACAAAGTCGAGCTCAGCAAACTCTGAGAAAGAGCCCGAGTGAAACGCTGACCTGTGCCAGGCTGCACTCGGAGCTCTCTCTCACAGCAGCTCCCGGAAATTCCCTGGGAAGGGGCTGCGGAGGGACCCTCGCTCACCTTTCCAGCCCCAGCAAGTCCCTGGGGTCCATCTGCTGTCCTGTTCCTGTCCCAGCTCCTGCTCCTCTGCCCAGTGCAAGGCAGCGCTGCAGGCTCCCAGGCTTTGGGATGTTGGCGGGGTTGGCCACCCCAAAGCCACCTCAGGCTGTCCCAGCCGGTGTCACCCCACACCCTGTCACCGCCGCAGCCGCCCGAGCCTAACCCAGCTTTTCAAAGTGAAGCCAGGCGCTCCTGGCAGCCGAGAGGATCAGGGGTCGCTCTGTCCCCGAGAGGAGCAGGGGTCGCTCTGTCCCCCAGAGGAGCAGGGGTCGCTCTGTCCCCCAGAGGATCAGGGGTCACTCTGTCCCCCAGAGGATCAGGGATCACTCTGTCCCCCAGAGGAGCAGGGGTCACTCTGTCCCCCAGAGGATCAGGGGTCACTCTGTCCCCGAGAGGAGCAGGGGTCGCTCTGTCCCCCAGAGGATCAGGGGTCGCTCTGCCCCCAGAGGATCAGGGGCCGCTCTGTCCCCCAGAGGAGCAGGGGTCACTCTGTCCCCCAGAGGAGCCGCTGTGTCCCCCAGGGGATCAGGGGTCACTCTGTCCCCCAGAGGAGCCGCTCTGTCTCCCAGAGGAGCCGCTCTGTCCCCGAGAGGAGCAGGGGTCACTCTGTCCCCCAGAGGAGCCGCTCTGTCCCCCAGAGGAGCCGCTGTGTCCCCCAGGGGATCAGGGGTCCTGTGCAGACGCTGCCGGGATCACTCTTTGGCAGAATAACTCTGCTCCGGGGATGGAGCCGCGCTGCCGGCGGGGGGCAGCAGATGTTCGGTACATCGGGCCCTCTGTCCCCACGTCCCCTCTCAAACGCCGGAAAAACCCAAAGTGCCAGACTGGGACACGGCCCCCAAGGCACCCTGCCCCTCACCAGGGTCTCGGTGAGCACACGGGCAGCTCCGCTCCATGCCCATGGAATGTGTTTTCCATAAAATGACGGAAGAATCAGCGGTTCTGGATGGTTTCTCGATGAGGTATCTCCTATCTCAGCCTTCCCTTCCCCACACCAGACTGCCTGAGGTCACCCTAGCAGTGACCAAAAGTTTGGAGGGCACAACCTTAGCCAACAGCATAATGTCCAAGGGAGGTGCAGCTGCCAGGAGAAGACTTCTGGAGCTTCATGGAGCCAAGAAAAAGCCAAGATGAGCCAAGGGATAGACACAGTCAGGATGTTTCACCCTCTTTACCTTCAGAGGCTGGACTAAACCTCCAGCAAGCTCACCTGAAGATGGACTATTTCCTGCACAGTGCACAAGGAGGAGACCTTGCTTTGGGCAGAGGGATCTGCCACTTACCAGTTCCAGTTTTCCATCCTTGAGCCGGATATGGGGATCCAGTGCTACTTTAGGTTTGGTGCCTGAAGCTGCTTTGTAGTTAGAAGCAGAAGCAGGTGCTGAAAAATCAAAAATAAATATTAATGGGGAAGCATTTGGGTAGAGGCATCTGCAAAGTGAAATTCAGATCTCTTTTTGTATGAAATAGAAAGTGTGTGCAGCAGGGCAAAAATCCAAGTCCAGGATATACTAAAACCGACTCTGGAAGGCTGAACTAGGCCTCTGTTGGAAAGATTGGATACTGAGGCAAATCCTTCTGAAACTGGGATCCAGCATGGTTTAAAACAATGTTTCATCCAGGGACAAAGAACTGCAAAAATAGCACTTTGGAAATTTCCAGTCACAGAATTTCGTGGAGTCTTGGAGTTATGGTGAACTGTGAGAAAAATTAATTAAAATCTGCCTGGTTTTTGTCTACTCTGATTAAGCAAAACTGAAAGAATTCCTGACGCCCATAGGAATGAACAGATTTAAAGTGATGTGGAAAAGCACCACTCTGAGATTTTTTTCCCTCCCCAAGGCTGCAAAAAGCCTTGAAACCCTTTTCCCCTCAGCTGGGCAGGCAGGTTTTTTTGGGTAGAAGGAGCCACATGTGCTGTGAAGCAGCCACAGAGGCAGAGAGAGGCAGAAGCAGCAGCTGCTGTGCTGGTGAAAAGCTGTCATGAGCTGCACGATCCAGCTGCCAACAGCTGGCTCAGCATTGCCAGCACTGCTGCACAGCTGGAAACGTCCAGAGCACAAGCCCTGCCCCTCCATCCCTGGAGGGAACCCCACCTTTTCCATTATGATTAACCCTTGCCTGTAAGGAACCATGATACTCCCAGGTAAAAGGGCTGTAGAAGGCGTTACCTGCTCCTGAAGAACCCAACCAGACTCCAGAAGAGTGCAGGGCTGCTGTGCCTGTCCCTGCCCACCCTGCACCCTCAAACCATCAGCTCAGGGGACAAAATTCCTTCTTGTGCCAGCCACGAGATTTGCCCAGGGAGCAATTCCTTCTGCCTGCTTGGGATCTGGTTAACATCACGGGAAGCCCTGTTTTGCCAAATAACAGAGCTCCTCCGGAAACCCTGAGCACTTCTCCCCTCACCCTCCTGTCCCTCAGGGCAGGGCCCAGGTGCCAGGAGAAGGCAGTGAGGAGCAGCAGAGGTGCTGCATAATCCTCCTAATCCAGGCATCCATCTGCTCTGCTAAGGCCAGCAGCTGGGAAGCAGCAAGAGGTAGCAAATGGGTTTGTTGGATCAGCCACCACCACTTCCCTCTCCAAGTTCAAGGGCAGAGCCGTTACCCTTGGAGCCATGGCTAATCAGGATTAGCTCCATGTGGCTTTGCTGTCAGCTCTGGATACAGCCATATCCAGGGCATCCATCAGGCACCCAGAGAGAGGCACTCACTGCCTGGCCCAGGCTCCCAGCCTGGCTGTTCTTTCAAAGCCAGTTGTCTGTCTCCACGGATGACGACACTGACATAAAGCCTCCTTGGCATCCCACATTCAAATCCTGGAGTGATAAAATCCCCCAGCTAAGTCAGGCCATGGGTGGGTCACTGCTGGGGCTGGGTTGCTCTCTCCCCATCACTGGGACTGGCTGTCCATGGTGGCCACCTGAGAGTGTCCCTGGCATCTGCAGGGCGCTCAGGGCAGGGAGGACAGAGCTCATCCCTGTCCCAGGACTTCTCCAGTGGAGCATGGAAGGCAGAGCTGAAGCTGCTGAGCTTGCCCAGGGTGAGCCAGACAACCCTGGGAGCAGCTGCTTCATCTCCTGCTGATCCCAGGTATGGACTAAACACGATTTACCTCCAGTGCTTGCTCTTAGCCTTCCAGAGGGAATTACAGCAAGGCACAGGGATTTGTAAGTAGAGCCAATGTCCCAGGGAAGGAAGGGCTGTTGGATTTGAGGCTGCAAGAATTTGAAGATTTGAGGCAGCACTTGTTTAGGATTTGTTGAGAAAGTCCATCCTTCCCTTGGGGCAGGAGTAACCTTCCTATCACAGGGATAGGGGATACCTTGGTGGAGGTTGTCTTCCTGGGCTCTGGGGATTATTGAGGTTTCCTCAACAGTATTAAGGGATTTGGGAAGCTGGAGGGTGATTCAGGTTCACCCCCTGTTGCTGTCACACTGTTGGATGTACAGAGCGGGTCTCTCCACAAAAGGTAAGAGCTCAGGAGACTTAGAACACAGAGATTAAACACAACATGGAAAAAAGCAAAAAACTGAAGCTTGGATGTAGAGAGAAATCTGATTTATTTAACACCTCTAAACCATTTCCCAGTTTGGCCAATTGAGGGCATCCTCAAAGCCTGTGCAGAGCCCACAGTTGCTGTGTACATCCCAACCTGACTGCTTTCATGTTGTGTGTCCAAGACCCCCCATTCCCACCAGGAGAGAATGTGGCCTGTGGAGAACCTTCTGCATGTCTGGGGTGAGCAAAGCCACTGCTGCAAATGAACCACGGGTTGAGAGTGGAGGAATTTGTCTCCTATGAATACCTCACTCCTTAAATGCTTTAGTAAAGAGTTTTGCTACTATGGGCAAACATGGACATAATTACTACTTGTTGAGTAAACCAAGGTGCTGGCTGCCCTCTCTCTGAGCAGGCTGAGTGTCACTATCACCCCATTAAATTCCACTCCAGCAGTATGAACACTGATAAAAATCTGGTGATAGGACCAAGGGAATGGATTCCTGCTGCCAGAGGGCAGGGTTAGATGGGATATTGGGAAGGAATTGTTCCCTGGGAGGGTGGGGAGGGTGCCCAGAGAAGCTGTGGCTGCCCCTGGATCCCTGGAAGTGTCCAAGGACAGGGCTTGGAGCAACCTGGGACAGTGGAAGGTTGATTTTATTGCCCCCATGGCAGGGGGTGGAATGAGATGGGCTTTAAAGTCCCTTCCAGGTCAATCCATTCTGTGATTTTGTGATTCGATAATTTCACAATCCTCAGCTCTGAGGGACCACAGCTGTTTGTCACCTACACAAAGAGAATGCTTGAGCAGGACTCACCTGAGACCGTAAGCTCTGGTGGGCAAATGTCCGGTGATAAAGAAGGCACAGGAAAAGGGTTTTCACGCCTATTCTAGAAAAACAAGACAAAATGGCACAGACAGTTGCTAAGAAGAATCTGCTGGTGTAAATAATGAGCAGGAGATAGAGGAGTTCAAGACAGAGCCATGAGGACACTACATACATCTCTTATGCAGGTGGGCTTGAAAGTACTCCAGGGGTTCCTTTGGGAGCACCTGGCACAGGCTGAGCCAGCCCAAAACCTCTGGTCACACACAAACACCTCTGTCCTTGCTGTAACTGTGCTTGAGTGCTGAGGCTGGTTTTGACCTCACCTGGTTTCTCCACAGAGATTCTCCCCAAAGCTCTGCATCCAACCCAGCAGGGAGGTCCCAAGTCTGACCACAGCCAGGTGTAATATTTACCCCAAACCCATAATTATCCCAGTGAGCAGGGCAGGAAGCTGAGATCAGTTCACACCCTTTCTTGTGTGCTATGTCATGGCTGAAAGCACAAGGAAGAGGGAAAAATAACCTGAGGGTGAGCACCACCAAGACAGCTCTGACACAGCTGGGGGTTTGGATGCCAAGAGGGGCACAGACTGCTGTGAGGACACACAGACAGGTGGCACGTGTGCCTGGGCACTCTTTCCCTGCTGTGGAAGTCCAGAACTCATCAGAAGTTCCACCTTGCAGCAGCAAAGTGAGGAAAGGAGCCATTTCAGTCCAGCCAGTGGTGGGATTTCATACAAGTGCATAGCATCCCACAGGCTGGGGGGGAGGGGTCTGACCACAGCACTCAGCACAGCTCCAGGGGCCCTGGTGCCTTTCTAGGGCACATCTCCAGCCTTGGCAACACATATGTGACATTCATGCACGTCTGTGTCCCCACAGGGCTGGAAAGCAAGAGGTTTTGTGAATGGTGTTGTAAGAAAGGAACATCCAGCCAGCCCCTCTTGAAGGAAATCTGTGTGGAAGAGGACAGGAAGAACACCTAGCATGGCACCAGTCCAGGAGGGGAGTGACAAATGCACACAATGGAGCTGCAGACCCTGAGGGTTGTGTGGATAAACCCTGTCCAGCCACTCACAGCTCGAGCACTTCTCTGCAAACACAATGTGGAGCTTGGCTTTGCAGGAGGAATGAGCCTGGCTTATCATTAGAGTAGTCAGGAGCAGGAATGGGCTGTGCAGGAATGCTGGGGATTCATCCTCATCAGAGGGCTTGAAGAATAAAGAGTTGTGCCTGCCTTTGGCGAGGAGCCTAGATCAAACTGACTCCAGAGATCCCTTCCAGCCCTATGACTGGTGCCCAATGAGATGCAGGTTGCTATCCACAGAAGGGCTTTGTTTTTTTTTAAACCTGAGACTCTTGAAACAGGTCTGAATGCAGGCCCTGGAGATGAAACTCCTGTCATTACCTCCACAGATCTATCCCTGTCTCAAACCCAAGAGAGAAGAAATTATTTCTGATTTAAAATATCTGCCTGCAGGTAAATACATCAACAGTACAGACTTCCCACAGGATTTCCAGAAGTATTATCAGGGACTCCCTAAAGAAGAGTTCTCTGACCAAGGAAAGATCCCAGGATTGAGATGAACTTCCACCTACCTCTGGGGACCTCACGTGGACCTTCAGCCTGCAGGAGCTCAGGCCATTTCCCACAGCCTTTGGAGGCGGGGATGGGATGTTGTTGTGAACTGACAGTCCCGGATGTAACCGTCCCCTCCCAGGAATAAAGGCCACTTCTGTGCTTCCCTCGTGTCTTTAACAAACAACAAACACACAACATCTTATTAACAAAACAAAAGGCACAAATTTGCAGAGCTCCCATGCTTGTGGTTCTGTCTCCAGGACAACATCACCTAAGCATGAGTAGCCTGTACCAGTGCAGCTGGATCTCCACCAGCTGCATTCCATTGAATCATGGAATGGTTAAGGTTGAGAAAGACTCCTAAGATCATCGAGTCCAACCATTTCCCAGGTACTGGCAAGGCCACCACTGACCCCTGTCCCCAAGTGCCACATCTCCATGGTTTTTGAACTCTTCTACAAATGGTGATTCCACCACTGCCATGGGCAGCCTGTGCCAAGAGCTTTACAACCCTTTCTATGAAGAAGTTGTTTCTTATATCCAGTCTAAACATCCTCTGGCACTACTTGGGGCTGTTTCCTCTTGTGCTGTCACTTGTTAATTGGGAGAAAAGCCCAATCCCCACCTGGCTCCGCCCTCCTGTACAGATCCATAAGTCCTCTCCTGAGTTTTTTTTCCCTTTTTTAACTTCAGTTCTGTTTCAAAGCTCTTCTGGGCAGTGATAGGAGATACTCATGAAGCCCAGAACATAGGGAAAGTCTGGATTACACTCCAGGATGATCCATGCCTTCAAGATTTCCTTATGTGTCCACCTTAAAGCATCATTTAAGACTAACAGTGCCCTTGAAGCCAAACGTTGGCATGAAGTGTTCTGCCTAAGACACAACACCACCTGATGATGAAAGGAAATACTTCCTATGCCTACCTGAATTTGGCTTTTTCAATTATTTTTCTGGCCTCCTCATGTGTGCTGCCCACCAGAGAATCTCTGTTGATAGCGATGAGTTGGTCTCCAGGTCGGAGCCGGCCATCCTAAACAAACACAGAGAAAGATGCAGCATTGAGAGGGGATATCTCTGCCCAAAGTCTTCTCCTGCAACACAAATCCTCATTAATCCATGCAATTATCCATCTACTCTTAGAAAAGCTGCTTCAGAACAGCCACAGCCTCTAGGAAAGGTCCCCATGGCAGAGCTCCTGAGGGTCTCCATGCTGACTTACTTTGTAACAGTCCCCATCTGGCAGAAGCTCTTGCACATAAATCATGGGTCCATCAGGCCTGTTGGATCCACCACTGATTGTCAGCCCCAAGCCAGAGGAGTTTGCTATAGAAATGCTCTGGATCCCAGAGTCAATGGAGTAGCTGCAAGGGAGAGAAGTCAGCAGGTAACTCAGGGTCATCTGGATTATCTTCTCCTATCACTGAACAAACTGCCTGGATCTTCTTCCATGCCTGATCCTTCTACCTTTTTCCAGCCTTTTATTTGCATCCTTTCTTCCACCCACCATTGGAAAGGGGAGGTGAGGGCTCCTGTTCTTTGGCAGACATTGTTCAATGCTATGAAGGTGACTGATTCTCCCTAATCCCAAATAGGGGAATACTCATTTAGAGAAGAAACTAAAGATTTAACTAGAATATATTTGACATTCCTGGTTTTATAGCCAAAAGCACACAAATGATCAACGTGGTTGTTACTTGAATCCAACTAAATAACCAGACAGCAATTTACAGACGGATCAGCTATCAAGCAGCTCTTAGCAAACACCAGAGTGAAGCTCGGGATACACAGCTGGGTGTGTCTTAACCAGGGTTTGGACCCAAAATCATCCAAGATGCTCTTAGAAATGGACATCCTTTATAGCAACACCCACCACACTGAGAGCTGCTGCTGTGGCAGGTGGCTCGCTCAGTCAAGGATGAAAAGGAGCAGCAAACAGGCTGGACCCTTCCCCCTGAGAGCTGCTGGACAGAGCTCAACAGGCCACCACAGCAGGGAGGTGTGGCAGTAGCAGAATTGTGGGAGCAGAGATTTCACTGAGCTCCCATGGGCAGCACTGCAACAGGGTGGGTTGAGGAAGGATTTGGTGGTGTATGAGGATCAGCAAGCCTTTTCCTCCAAAGCTGGTGGGTGCAGCTGGCTTTTCACTTTTCAGTTTATTCCCACAGCAGCCACTGCCCAAAGAGTTTGCACTGGCTCCTTGTGTTACAACTCAGACACAGCAGCAGCTGTGCATCCCCTGCCCCACAGTGACACCAGCACATGTTCCCAAGCAATGCCATCCCACTGGTCAGACACCCCAGTGGAAGCTGTGCATGTGCCTTAGTCTTATGAAAAAACATTGCTTTAATCTTAGGGAAATGATGTCATGAAATACAACATTCAAATGCTCTGTTCAACCCAAAATCTCAGACACTGACTGTGGTGAGATTGCATTGCATCCAATTCCCATTGCTCAGTGGAGTGGCAGGACCTCAGGTGATGCCACAATGAGAAGTCACAGCCTGGGGACATGTGGTGAGCAGAAGGGGTGGCAGCCACACGCATGGAAAGACCCATGGCCCAAATTGGCTCCATGACCACCAATGCTCAGCTGAAACCAGGGCTCTGTGATTCCAGGGGAAGACCACTTGGGCCTGGCACCAGCATGGAGACAAGCAGAACACAGCACAGCATGGCAAGGAGGCCACCAGGAGAGGCCCCTTGCCATGCCCAATTTCCTGCCCATGGCAGGGGGGTTGGAACAAGATGATCTCTGAGGTTCCATCTCACCCAACCCATTCTGGATTCTACATCTCAGCCCGGAAGGAATTAACAGCACAGTAAGGATGGCTTGTCCAAACCAGCTGCCAAGTAGATGATCCAGTGTCTCCTCTGTGTGCGTCTCTCACTCCATGCAAGCAGCTTAAACTTCTGGTGCCAAATATTTGTCCCCTGCAAATCCCTAATAAGCTGGTATTTAGCAAGAGGATTTACTGGTTCTGCAGTGAGGGCTGATTCTCTTTACCAGTAACTTGGCTTGTTTGTGCTGGCAAAGGAGGGGAGCTGTGAGCCCTGGGGACAAATGGTCCCCATTCCATGACTGTGAACACACTCCAAGCTGTCCCTCTGGAGAAGGGCCTGGAGATGAGACTCTGCTGAAAAACCAGCTTTGCCTGTCCAAACCTCTGACCCTGCGGAATGTGCGAGGGCAGATGACCACATGAAAACACACTCTGGGAGATGCCCTGGCCACCAAAGGATGTGGTGACTGCAGGCTGATGACCCCAAAGCAAAGGGCATCAGGGATGTTTGCATGGAGGGGTGCTGGTGCTCTTGGAGCATGGAGCCAAAGTGCCAGGAGCAGGGCAATGGGAAACAAGCTCATAAAACACCTCCTGAAAGCAGCACCAGCCTTACAGGAACACTCTGCTTGTGGTTATAAGGTGATGTGAAAGGCCCTGGCTGTAAACCATGGCCTCTCCCTGGGATTCAGAGGGGAGGAAGAGGAGCTGCTGCATGGTTAACCATGGTGCAGACATACTGGTTGTCTCAACTGGGAAGCTTTTCACCCCTTGGGAACCAACTTCCCAGCAACAGCCAGGATGTCACCACCACATCCAGAAGATGCTGTGGCCTCTGAACCATTGGGGTGACAGAAGAGTAGAGAGGACATAAAGATGAATAAAACTGCTCAAGAAGCACTGGAATTATTTACTGGCTGTACCCTCTGACATTTGGTGGTGTCCTGATGACCACCAAATGCGTACGTACTGTGCGTGAGGAGCGTGCGCCAGGCTCCCGAGGAAGGGGCCGTGGGAGCTGGCAGGGCTCAGCAGCAGCGGGCTCTGGGAGCGCGAGGATGAGCCTGAGGAGGTGCTCTCCAGGTATCGACCTGAACAGCAAAGGCAGAGTCAGTCCAGGGCACACAAACACTCCAGCATCACCCACCCCCCTGCTCTGCTGCTGAGAGCTGATGCTGCACTCCTAGATTTTTGGGGAAAACCACATGGTGGTTAAAGACATCAGGATAGGGCTGAAGGAGAGGACACATTCAGCCTCCTTGGCACAATTCCAGCGTGGGACTCACCCCTCTGCCAGCCCCACACACCTCTGCTATAGGGGAAGGGCCAGCAGCTCTCTGGTGGGATGCCAGGGCATAGGGAAAGTTTCCTTCCCCAGGCACACACTGCTCTGTGTGCTGGCATCTTGCTTAGGTCAACCTTGTTGAATCTCATTAAACATTTCCCATTTGCAAATGAAAAATAATGATCTTTGAATGAATTATTGCTGAAACACCTTGAAATCCAGAGCAAAAATCTACAGCTGCATTTATTGATGGAGTCACCTGCCCAGCACATCAGGCAGAATCTGGGGATCAGGGGAGCAGTTATGACCCCAATTCAAGTCTCCCTTTATCATCCCATGGCAGCATTGGCCACGCTCTGGGCTTGCACCAAGGGTCTGCAATAAGGATGAGCTTTCTTCAAGCCTCCACCCCAACACCTGCTCAAATCCAAGCACAGCTCCTTCAGAATGACACTGGGATAAAGGAAACTGTCTCTGCAGAGAGAGGGGCTTTCAGTTCCCTGCTGAGCTACTCACTGCCGCCGTGCAGGATCGGTGAGCTCCGCGCTGAGCCCGTGTTGCTCTGGGAGCCAAACTTCTCCAGCAGCTCAGAGAACTCTCTCCTGCAAACAAAACCACATCAAAGCAAAACCAGCCAGCTGCTGCTCAGAACTCCCCTACATGTTATATGGCAACAGAGCCTCTGATGGCAGTGATGGTACCGAGGCTGCAGGGCTGGTGCTCACCAGCTGTAGGGAGCAGACACAGTTTCCTCATGCACAAGAACACCTGGGTTTCAAGCGCTTGTGCAAGGCTTCAGGTCTGTACTCAGTCTCATGACAGTGAAGCCTTCCTGTGATGGGCTAGAGCTCCAGAGTGCACATTCCCTGGCCTGGAGCGTGCTCAGGGCAAGAGAAGTTGGGAAGGGACGTATCCTTAAAGGTCTTTTCCAATCTTTATGATCCTATGATTCTATGGACAGGCTCTGTGCTGAGAACTGTCACTCCTGAGAGAGGGCAGATGGACACTGGAGCCCTGCCTTGCATCCTGTCTTGCACCCCACCTCATGGACCCTCCTGGGAAGGTTTTCACCTCCAACTATAAGGCTCAAAAGTTTTGCAAACACACCACAGAAATTAAACCCTGCCAGAAGGAGTTGTAACTCCTGAAAATATAATCCAGAAATTCTTGGCCTACTTGTGACTCCTTCTAGGACAGTTAAATACAGGTTATTTTCTGGTTTTTCTCCTCTTTTCCTGGACAGAAAGCAGATCCTGTAACTCTTGCTGGAGTAAAGAGGGAGATGACTTTTGGGGCATCTGCAGAAGCATCAGCCCACTCTCCCAATCAATCCATGATGATGTTCTCCACAAACATCACAAGCTAAACCCTTGGAGCATGACATGGCAACAAAGACCTGCATGTAGTCTCATCCCCCAGATCCCCTGGAAAGTGATCTCCATGCCCAAGCACCAGATGCTTTGTTCCAGGTTAAGTTTGACCACCGTGTGTTGAGCCCTTGATGAGCTGGAACTACCTTGAACACCACAGGTGATCTGCTTTGTGACCTTTTTTTGCCAAGTGTGACATCCTGAGTTTTTTTGAATTCCATTAAGAACTACCATTGTGCACATTTACCAGATCCTGCCTCATTTCTGAAACCTTTCTTTGAGTTGCTGTGAGCCCCTCACATCCTTTCAGATGAGGAGGCACGGAAAGGAATGACATCTTCATCATGTTCATGTCCAGCAGCCTTCTGATCCACCCCTGCCACGCTGGCTCTTTGCTCTTGTGTTGTCCCTCTGCAGTGCTGGGGGTTCTCTCCCTTCATAACCAAACCCCACCTGACAGATCTGACCTTTTGGCAGAGAGATCCTCAAGGATGATTAATTTCTTACACATGCCAGTTAATAAGCATCCAGGCAGTGGGAGAGACCCTGGAAATGTTGTTTCAGTGGCCACAGTAACACCATTAGATGTCGTCTTTGAAGGCAGGAGGGAATCCCCATGGGAAGGTGCCTTCCTGATGCCATAGCCTCAGGAAGAGCCTGGTTATGAGAGGCTCCCTCTCAGGCTTGACAGTCAGACAAGCTCAAGAGGTGAACCTGTAGGAACCCAGCCACAGCAAAGATCCCTGAGCGAGGAGACTGCTGTGACACACTCGCAGACGCTGCGTCATCTGCGTTCCTCACCAGGACAGATGTTGGGTGTTATTGGCTAGATTAGAGTCAACAATATTAAATGATGAATGAATCATCAGCTCCTCAGGTTCCTGCTGGAAGTGCTCTCAGTAATTTACATCTTCCCAGTCACAACCAGCTCATTAACAAACTTCAAAGACCAGCGCATGCCTTATCTAATATTGCCATCAAATTTATGCCTTATTCAATCCATTTAATGCTAATTTAAAACCCAAGTGTCACACAATGCTCAGTGACAAGCCTTGGTGAATCTCAGTATTTGCATCCATACTATTGTCTTTATCAACCAAACCCATGGCCTTAAAAAAGACACGACTTTGTTCAGAAACCCCACGTCCCACAAAGCTCTTTTGGCTTTCACCTCGGGCACAAACTTCCCCAGGAATAGCCAAGAAGTGTTCCCCCAGGAACACCAGACATCCAGAAGATGCTGTGACCTCCCAGTCATTGTGGTGATAAATCAGTAGAGGGGACATGAGGATGATCAAAGCCATTCTCCAAGCACTGGAATTCTTTATTGGATCTACTCCTCAGACAGTGACAGGATTTGTTGGCCCAGCAAGGGACATCTGTGTGGGGCCAGCCCTGTGTGACCTGCATTTACTGTGCATGGGGGCGGGGGAAGGCAGTTCCATAATGTAAGGCACCAAAATTATGTAAAATATTAGCAAAACTTCTCCATGGAAAGGATGTCAGGCTGGAACAGGCTGCCCAGGGAAGCGGTGGAATCACTAGAAGTGTTCAAAAAACATATGGATGTGACACTTGAGGCTATGGTTTAATGGTGGCCTTGGCAGTGGTAGGTTAAGGGTTGGACTCAAGGGTCTCAGAGGGTTTTTCCAACCTAAATTGATTCCACAAGCACTGGGACGGCAGAAGACAAGTCAGGCCCTGGTTTGCTGATCTGTGGATCCCTGAGCTGAGCCTTGGGTGGATCTCAGCAGAATTATTCCAATTTCTCAGCAAAGCCTCTGTGTTTCTGCAGTTGATTCACACCAGTTTCACTGGCAGCTCAAACAGCCCTGGCCTTATCCCTCCCTGACCCCATGCAGGGGCAGGTCCAGCACGCTGGAATCTCACACATTATTCTCAGTGGTTACCAAGCTACAAGCACTGAGCTTTTATTTTGGGCTGAGTATTTCTGTGGTCATCTATTGTTCCATTTTCCTTAGATAATAATCCACCAGAGCACAGAGGAGGTTATAAACGCCAAACAATGGCTGAAATACTCTTAGTCAATGCAAATGGAACTGGTGCAGCAGCTCTGTGACCCTGCAAGCCCCATCACCAACCTGTGCTGCCAAACTCTGTCATAAGTGAGGACATGCATGGACTCAGCATTCCTTGATGTTGTTTATTTTGTGTCCTGAAATTCATCCACAAAGGAGGTTTATCATTGTTTGCACAGGAGCCTGAATGAGCTGTGAGACTGGGTCCAGCCCAGGGACAATGTGACCAAATGCCACCGTCCCAGCTCCTGCTTTGTTGGTCAGTCCTGCCAGCAGCCCCAGTTCCACCAGGGACACAAACACATGACTAACTTGAGGCACACACTTATCCCAGCAGAAAGTAAAACACTTTCTGGTGCCAGTCTCCTGGGAATTAATTTTGTGCTCAGTGCTGTGTTTGGAGGAGTTTGACGCGGGCAGACAATGCCCAAACATTGCCGATTAATGAACGAGTGCACTGAAGGAATGCCAGCAGGCCTCGCTTTGTGCTTTCAGACACCAAGAGGCTTCAGAAGATGTCTTTAATATTTAAAATTTGACCCTTACTAAAACATTGTGAATTGTCAGGTGCCTGGAGGACTAAAATGCCCAGCTTTATTAAAAAACAACAACCATGGCGTTGTATGAGGTGGAAAGTTCATTTTAACAAGCCCTTCTCCAAGATTTTTTTCATTAGGATGCAAACATTTGAGGTCTGGAGGATGCTTGCAATGGAGCTTGGCACTGGACAGCCTTCAGCCAGCCCCAGGGTGGGATGGGGGGTCTGCCAGCAGCAGCCAGCTCCAGGATGACTTTACTACAGATTAAGCAGCAAGGGGTCAATCTCCCTGAAGAAAATGGTTGTTTTATCTCATAATGCCTCTTTGTCCTGCCCTTTTGTTCCTGGGAGAACAAAGGGTGAATCCTACATCAAAGGTTACACAGCGTCTGGAAACCTCAGCTCTGTACCACAGCTGGGAGAGAAAGTGGAGTCTGTGACATTAGAAATTACTGGTTTGTCTCAAAAAAAAACAAACGGGCAGGTGAGTGGGAGCCGTGAACCCGGAGCACTCCAAACACGTCACAAAGGCAGGTTTTCTCACACACAGCTCCAGTGGAATCAGGGCACCCACAGCCAGCCCAGAGCTGACACCCAGCTGTGTGGGGAGGTCACATCCTGGAGGGGAGGGATGGGGCATCCAGAGGGACCTGGACAGGCTGGAGAACAGTGCAAAATTCATAAAGCACAACAAGGCCAAGTGCCTGGGTCAGGGCAATTCCAAGCACCAATCCAGACTGGGCAGAGAAGGAATTGAGAGCAGCCCTACGAGAAGGATTTGGGGTGTTGGTGGGTGACAGCTGGATTTGCCCTGGCCATGATCACCCAGAAACTCCCAGGGCTGGGCTGAGCCCCAGTGTGGGCAGCAGGAGGGGGGATTCTGCCCTCTCAGGTGAGACCCCACCTGCAGAGCTGCCTCCAGCCCTGGGGCCAGCAGCAGCAGGACGTGGAGCTGCTGGAGAGAGTCCAGAGGAGCCCATGGAGATTCCCCAAGGGCTGGAGCCCCTCTGGAGCCAGGCTGGGAGAGCTGGGGGTACTCACCTGGAGAGGAGAAGGCTCCAGGGACACCTCAGAGCCCCTTGCAGGGCCTAAAGGGGCTCCAGGAGAGCTGCAGAGGGACTTGGGACAAGGGATGGAGGGACAGGACACAGGGAATGGCTTCCACTGCCAGAGGGCAGGGCTGGATGGGATATTGGGAAGGAATTGTTCCCTGGCAGGGTGGGCAGGCCCTGGCACAGGGTGCCCAGAGAAGCTGTGGCTGCCCCTGGATCCCTGGAAGTGTCCAAGGCCAGGCTGGACGGGGCTTGGAGCATCCTGGGATAGTGAGAGGTGTCCCTGCCATGGCAGGGGGTGGAATGGAATGAGATTTGAGGTCCCTTCCAAGCCAAACCATCCGGTCCTTTCCCTCTCTCTGGGGGGGGTGGAAGCAGTGCCAGGCACAGTGCATCTCACTGTGCTGGCAAAGGCTGGCTGGTTTTTCCAAAGCACAGCCTTTGTCCCTGGCACACCCAGGCCTCCCTGCCAGTTTAGCTCCAAGTGCCCAGAACAATGATGGGCTGAGCTGTCACTGTCACGTGCAGGGCTGTCAGGACAGGAGGCACCATCCTGCATCTACACCAAGCCACGCATCAGCTCCAGCCACAACCCCTCTGCTGGGAAAAACGGTGTGGGCAGAATGACCTGGGCAGTGATTCTACCTTTGCAGGCAGATTTTTCAGATTCAGACCCCTTGGGCCTGGACCTCAGGATCTGTGTTCAGCTCTGGGCCCCTCACAAGGCAGACACTGAGGGGCTGGAGCATGTCCAGGGAAGGGAACAGAGCTGGGAAGGGGCTGGAGCAGCAGGAGCAGCTGAGGGAGCTGGGAAAGGGGCTCAGCCTGGAGAAAAGGAGGCTCAGGGGGCCCTTCTGGCTCTGCACAACTCCCTGACAGGAGGGGACAGCCGGGGGGAGTTGGGCTCTGCTCCCAGGGAACAGGGACAGGAGGAGAGGGAACGGCCTCAGGCTGGGCCAGGAGAGGTTCAGTTTGGACATCAGGAGGAATTTCTTCATGGAAAAGGTGCTTAGGCCTTGGAAAGGGCTGCCCAGAGTGGTGGTGGTGGAGTCCCCACCCCCAGAGGTGTCCAAGGAACAACTGGACATAACACTCAGGGCTCTGGGCTGGGAGATCAGTCAGAGGTTGGACTCAATCCTGAAGATCTTTTCCAGCCTCAGTGATCCCATGGGTCTGTAATTGTGTTCCACACTGCAGGGCACTTGCAGAGAAGCAGCCTTTCCTTCCTGCTGGTTGTGTGAGCCCTGTTAATCCAACAGCCCCCGCTCCTGGGATGCTGGGGGTGCATCTCGTGTGGAGACACAATTTCATATTTTATCATGCCAGAACTCAGAGGTGCAGCACAAACTGGCTCCTCCCAGTGATAAACCTGACAGACCAGGCTGATATCTGTGCAATGCAGAGAAACAAGGAACTATTGTAACTTTCAGGCTGAGAATGAATAAACAATAATTATGACTATGCAATAAAATTATCCTTATTAGCTGAAGGTCAGCACAGACGAAAATCAGATTTAAGCATCACCCGAACCTGGTGAGTCCAGCTCCAAATCTGAATTCTCTGCTTTAAGCCCTGGCATTACTGCTGCTCTCTGCAGCCCAGCTGATGCGACAGGCCCAAAACATGCATCTGATACACGCCAAAGACTGAGTTCCATGAAAAGCACAGGTAATTTGGGCCTATAATTAACTCCAGGGACAAATAAAAGCGTTTATGACTCAATTTCACCCGAGGGCAACCACAACAAAATGCTACTCAGCTGAGTCATTGGGAAAATTGGCAGGAGGGTTGGATCCAAACCAAGAGCCATGACGTTCCTTCCTCCAGTGCGCCTTGAGTGCTCTGGGTGAGGAAGGATCTGAAAATAAGCTGAATTTTCTCTGCCCTCTGTCCTCCTCAGCTTTCAGGTCTCGTGAGCTGCTTTGCTGGGCAGTGGGAAGGAGGGAGGCTGCCCACAGCTCATGGCATGGCACCTCCACAGGCATTGCCCCCAGAGCTGATGGCCCCTTTCCACCCAGCTGGCTGCTCACCCACACTCAAGGACAGACTTAAAAGATAACAGGGCATCAATAAAAGACAAAACTAAGTGGGAAAAAAAAAAAAAGTGGAGAGCAGAAAAATCCTTCCCCATGTTCCCACAGCCCTTAATCCTGGAGATATGTATTCGTGTATTAAACAGTTTGTGAGATGATTATGTAAGTGAAATCTCTGCAAATCTTTTGGGAAAAAAAATAAATAAACTGATTACTTCCCCCCTCTCCCTCTGGCTAACCTTTTGCAGATTTAACAGATAACCACCAGTGAACGGAGGCCAAATAAATTGCTTAAAGTTTCATTGCCCTGCCGGCCTGCCCCAGCTGCCTGCAGGGCGATCGGGGACTGCCGACAGCAGGGGGGAGCCGGAGCCACGCGTGCGGGTGCTTTAGGAAACATCTGCTGCAATTTGGGATATCGAGATGCATGAACAGCCTGAAAGAGATCAGGGTGGAGGCAGAAAACCTGCACTGGGAGCTCTGGCTGAGATATCAAGTGTTTCCAGGAGCAGGTCCTGCTGCTGCTGCTGGACACAGGGATCCCAGCTGAGCTGCGGGATCCCATCCCTCCTGCTGGGACAGAGTGTGAGATGCCCACTGGCACTTTGCCCTGCCAAGGGAACTGCTGTGATCCAGAACTGCATCCTGAGCATCCCTGCTCCCAAAGGATCTCTGGTGAGCTACTTGCTTCACCCAGCACTTCATCAGAGCTGCTGAAGGACTTGCACTTAATGTAATAACAGGAGATGCCATTTCCCCTGGAAGAGGGTGGCTAAAAGCAGCCCATCATTAATAGCAAATAATTCTTCCAGCAGTGTATTGCTGTGTCAGAATTAGTCTCACGCCCATCATTATGGCACTGTCGCTGCTCTGCCAAGGCAGGAACGCTGCACAGCGGCTGATGGATAAGGAATGAGTCCATCATCTCCAGCACTAACGGGATGTGGCTGTGTTGAGCAAGGGACTCTGACCTTCAGGCACTCAGGCACAGCAAAGCCCCAGTGCCAGCAACCTGCCTGCCCACAGCCACGCTCTGCCAAATCCCACCCTCATTCCTCTGGCTCCTGCAGCACCTCAGCTTTCCCAGCGCCTGTTTCTATCAAGGGAGGGGATGTGCCAGGACATTGTGCCAGATCTCCTGTGGGATGTCAGCAAAGACCCCACTAATCCATACCTTGGTTCCCACAGCTCTGCCCTCTCTCATGGCACTGTCATTGTCCCACACAGCTTAAATCCAGTCAAGACAAGATTGAGCTCTTTCCTTCTCCTTCCAAAACCCTCTAAAGTCTCTCCAGAGTGAGCAAGGTTTTCCAGAGAGGGGACAGGTTTCAGGGAGAAACTTTTCATCCTTCCTGAGAAGGAGGAAACCTCTGGGGAAGGAAGACCTTAATGTGTCCAACCAGAAAGGAAAGGGAAGATCCTGCTGTCCCTGTACATCTTCATGCAGAGCTCTGTGCAGGATGTGCACGCAGCAGAGCTGAGGGAGCTGTGCCACCCTACACCAAACACTAGAGCAGCCCTGGTCCTCCCTGGGGAAACACCTGTGGAAATCTGCTCAGTGCTGGAAATGTCCCACAGACCCCACACAGGCAGGGCTGCAGCTGGGAGCTCCCAGCTTTGGAATGTCCCACAGACCCCTCACAGGCAGGGCTGCAGCTGGGAGCTCCCAGCTTTGTTTCCCTTCCATTACAGCTCCACTGAATTCCCACCAGTTCACAGTTACCAAAGACCCCTGGCTATCTCCACCTTCCCCATGGGCTTTGAGCCTGATTTGCCCGAAGGCTCTCCAGCTGTGGTGCCAACCAGTGCCACAACCCCCCTTCCCAGTGTGCCATGTCCCCCCTTACCTGGCATCGTCATCACGGGCTATCAGAAGGCGCATGTGGCTGGTGGCCGACGCCGTCCTCAGGATGTCCACGGCCCTGGAACACAAGGACCATGACACGTCAATCCCAGCTCCCAGTGGTGCTCCACTGGTCTCACCCTGCTCTCCTCAAAGCTGGGCAGAGACCCCTGACCCAGGGTTTGGCTGCATGCCTGTGGAGCAGCCCTGTTCCCTGCCCTGGTAGTGAGGCCGAGGGCAGCCAAGCCACATCCTGATTTTGTCACTTCTGCAGTAAGGGAGAAGGCCCTGATAACAAAACCCAGAAGATGCCTCTGGTGGTGAGCAAATCCTCCTGCACAGCCCATGGCAGGGGGCTGGAATGAGGTGATCTTTAGCATCCCTTCCAACCCATACCATTCCATGATTCTGCAATTCCCAACCTGGGGAAGTTTCCATCCCAAGGACAGCCATTTTCTGGGTCAAAATACAAGTACCCCTGGCACAGCCTCCCACAGCCACAGAGATGTTCTCATGGACATCACCAAACCCAGCTGCTCGGGGCCTTTGGCATCAGGACCAGATGTTCATGCTGCTTCCCATCCAGCCTCGGCACCCTGTGCAGGAATGCAAGGCAGGCAATAGGATAACACCATGTTTAATGGGAAAGGAGAGCTCCCAAAGTGCTGCTGCTCCTGTGGAGCTGGTAATTATTCTCTTGGTGGGGAGCTGAGGGGCTGGATCCTGGCTCCAGAAGGAATTGCTTGCTCAGAGCAGCACTGTCAGGCTCAGGCACCAGCTGATCTCCTGTGCTGGGAACTGCAGGAATTACTGGGAAGCTGCAGCAGATGGAGTGGAGGTGCCAAGAGCTGTTTCAAACCCAGTGTTTTGGGGAAATGGCTGAGTATCTCAGATACCATTTGGGCTCACTGGTCTATTTTTATATTGAATCTTTCTGTCTGATAAATTCCGAGCTGGCTCTTGGGAACAGCACACGGAGCGATGCCCTGTTGTCCTCCATGCCTAAGACACTCCACAGAATCACACAAAAGCAACAGGAATGGAACATTTCCATTTGGATATGGTACCTCTCACTTGTAACCCCAATTAGGGAATCTCCATTGACCTCCAGGATCTGGTCTCCTGGCTGCAGGCGCCCTAGAAAAGAAAACTAATGGATAGAAACTGCAGAAAATACAGCTTGAAGGGACTGGGAGAGGCTGGGCAGTTCCTTACTGTGCCCAGAGACAGGATGAAAAAAGCATTGGTTGTTCCAGAGATGCTCGTTTAACCTGTTTTTCCAGATGTCCATAAAAAAAGAAGTTTCTGCAACCTCCCGGAACAACCAGTGCCAATGTCCCAGCACTTCCTCTGCTCTAGGAAGTTGCAAAAGTAAATACTGAAAACTGCAATAAAGCTTTTGCTTAATTCACTTTGAGGTCAAGTAGTTCAGTTTGAGGTCAGGTAGAAAGCCATGAGAGCCACTTCCACCTGTTTTGGATTTATTTTCCTTTATTGGATGGAAAAATGATGAAACAGCTGGAAAAAAATTAAATCTTTTTAGCTGCAGTTGTAAAAGGTGAGCTCTGCAGACCCTTAATACCTACTTAGCTGAACATATTCAGAATTAAATCAGTGACTCAGAGCAGAGCTGAGTTTGCAAAAGGATCTCTGGTTGTTTTGGGACCACAGGGAGGTGGGAAAGGACAGGAAAATTCTTGTGTGGCAGAGATGGGTCATGCTCTACACACACAAAACAACTGTACAGATGCTGAGGAGCCAGTCCAAGGCTGCTGTCAGATGTTAGAACAACTACCACACTAAAAAAATACCCCAACCCCTGGAAAATCTCCAAGCAAGCACCCAAAATACCTAATAAGGGATGAAACAAATGTGTGAAATAAATACCCTCGATCTGGGCTGTTCTCAGGCCTCACGGCACTCTGCCCCTCATGAACTCTGAGTGTTTCACTCACCATCCGCATAAGCAACACCCCCTGGAAGGATCCTCTTGACATAAACTCCATATTCCTCTCCAGTGAGCTCCTTGATGCCACCGATGACCTTAATGCCTGCAGGAATAATACAGCCCATGACACAAAGGCAGGAGAGTCAGAGCTCGCACAGGCCATGTCTGAGGGACACAGCCCCACATTCTGAGCCATGGAATGGTTTGAGTTGGAAGTGACCTCAAAGCCCATCCAGTGCCACCCCCTGCCATGGCAGAGACACCTTCCACTATCCCAGGCTGCTCCAAGCTCCATCCAGCCTGGCCTTGGACACTTCCAGGGATCCAGGGGCAGCCACAGCTGCTCTGGGCACCCTGTGCCAGGGCCTGCCCACCCTCCCAGGGAACAATTCCTTCCCAATATCCCATCCATCCCTGCCCTCTGGCACTGGGAAGCCATTCCCTGTGTCCTGTCCCTCCATCCCTTGTCCCAAGTCCCTCTGCAGCTCTTCTGAAGCCCCTTTAGGCCCTGCAAGGGGCTCTGAGGTGTCCCTGGAGCCTTCTCCTCTCCAGGTGAGCACCCCCAGCTCTCCCAGCCTGGCTCCAGAGGGGCTCCTTGGGGCACCTCCATGGCCTCCTCTGGACTCGCTCCAGCACCTCCAAGTTCATCACTGATGGGAAAGGATCTGTTCCTGCTGCAGATGAAAACATTCCTGGTGACAAGTGTTTCCCACAGGAGATTCCTTCCCTGTGCACGTCTGGACAAGCCCCAGAGGCACCGCAGTGGTGAGGAGATCTCCGCTCACCTCAGGCCCCACCAGCCCCTCAGCCTCTGACACAGCCACCAATGGCAGAGCCACAATCCAGGAACGGCCACTTTTGTCAGGGTTTGGCCTGGGGGGAGCAGCAGAGGCAGGAGCACAGGGATGAGCCCGGTTCCAGGTGTGAGCCACCCCTCCAGCTCAGCTCGGGCCCTGCAGCACCTCGGGGCTCCTGCTCCTCACAGCCGCCCCTCCCGCCTCGGGCCCGTCCCTGCGTAAGCTGGCTGGCAGGAAAAGGTCCAAGAGACTTATTTATCCAGGGCTCGTTAAGTCCTACTTCGAAGATCCAGGCTGTGGACAGAAGGATTAAAAATCCTGGCTTTAATTAACAAATCTCTCTCTCGAGCCGCCGGTCGGGCACTTTGCTGCTCTTGGCCGGGAGGGCAGGCGGGGGCCGGGCAGTGCCAGCGCCAGCCCAGCTCCATCCCCAGGCTGCTGAGGGGCTGCCCCCAGCCCGGGAGAGGTCCTGGGCTGCCAGAAACGTCTCCCTCTGGAAAACAGGGCACAGCTGCTTCCCCAAAACCTGGGAACCCTTTCTGGAACAGGTGGGAGAGGATCCTGGATCGGGATTACTCAGGACACAGCGCCATTTCCATCCCTGTTTCCCTTCCTTTTGTAACCCAAGCTCTGCTCTCAGGTTCCTCACAGTTTTCATCTGCCTCTAGGGAAAGACTTTGTCTCTCAAGTCACCTTTATATTAAATTAGATTAAAGCTAAATTATTACAATTTCCCAGTTAATTTCTATATGCACCAATTGCTGCTTTTCCCAAACTCCAAATCCCAGCCCTGAGTGCTGGAGTTTATTCCCTGGGTTTAATGCATTAACCAGGCACTTGTGAGGGGCTGATTTACTGCTGGAACAGGGAGCTCCCAGCAGAACACCTCAGGAATGGGCAGTAATATTTTCTCCATTGCATTATAAAATAAATTCACTCAAATTGGAAATATTGCCCCCAAAAAAGTATCTATAAGCAGCACAAGCCTCACCAAGGTGTGGGTCACACAAAAGCGGGGAGGAAATGCTGCAGCCATGGGCCAAAGGTAAAACATGTTCATGGCCAGGGATGCTCAGCTGGAAATTTCTCTGCTCCTTATGGAGCCAGGGGATTGCTGTGCTGGCTCTGTAGAGACACCCCAGGGAACAGAGATGGGCTTGAGAAACCTTGGGGTCCTGCAGAGGCAAAGCCCCATCAGTTCCCCTGGATGGGGAAGAGACTGGAAGTCCAGCCCAAGCCAAGGGGATGAGTCAGGAACTCATTCTACATCTTTCTTCACACTGTAACACAAAGGAATTAGGAATGCTGAAGCACATCACACAAACAATACAAAATCTGCACCTTGCAGAGGCTCAGCTGCAGCATCTCCAGCAGCCCAGTGTGGGACAGGCACCTGTGCCGAGGTATCAAATCAATAATGACTCATTTCCCTTTTGTGTCTGCAAATCAATTGTAATAATGCCTTAATATAGCTGAAGTATCTCCAAATCCTCCTTTATCCCCAACGATGTCATGAGAAAATCCGATCTTGTTATTAAAATCGGTGATTACGGCAGTATTGCTCCAGACACACTCAAACTTGGATGAGGGGAGGAAAAATCCCCGAGTTTTAACTCCTTTGTTGGGAAAGCAGCTGGATTCTGCCAGGCTCTGCCCACTACTCACACCCATCACCTCACCACGAAGGTGCTCTGGGTGCCAGTCCTGCCCCCAAAATCCACTGGAGAGTCCCCACTGGGGCAGGGAGGAGGAGGAGGAGAAGGGAGGGCTCAGACCACACCAGGGGAGAGCAGGTGACTGATGGCAGCAAACCTGAATCATCCAGGACTGTGGTAGCAGCATTCCTGGGACGATATTTCTTTTACATATTTTATAAACATTTACCTCAATCAAATTTCTATTTGGGACCCAGTGTAGGTAAATAACGGCTCTTTAATTATCACAGCATCAAAGTCCCAGTATAATGCTTATTAAGTCATACTTAGGGCCAGATAATCTAGCCTATTTTGGATCCCTCTATTTAATCTTTCCTTTCTGGCAAGGGTCCTGGAGCTGATGCTCATGTCTCTGTTTTTTTCACTTTTGTAGAACAAAGTTTGCCAGGAAAACTCCAGATGGACTTAGAGGTAAGACTGACCAAATCTGTGTTTTCTTTGGGCTTTTAACGATCCTATAAATTTTTCCAAGACCCTCAAGCTTCTCTGGTGCCTCTAATCCCTCTCCTACTAATGTCAGAGTCACAGTTCTCAGGCTATAATCTCACCTGCTCCTGGATCCGTGTCCCACAGGTCAGGGGGTGTCCTGGCTAATCTGGTTGTTTAGTCCCACTGGGATCATCCCGGGTGCATCCTGACCCCACTGGCTGCCAGGCTGGACATGGAGAGGGGCCTCCTGCTCTGTGCCTAAGCTGGCAATGTTCAATTACATTTCCCTTAATCCCTCTGTTGATCTTGCAGCCCCCGCCAGCTTTTTCTGTCTGGAGGAAGGGACAGATTGGAGGTGAATCACTCACTGCCCTGTCCTAAGCAGATGAAGGTCAAGATAATGGGATCTCAGTGTTTCTGAGAAATGCCCCTTAATCAGCACTTCCCTTTGATGGCTATTCTTTAATTCGAGGTTCAGGTTTGAGGAGCTGCCAGGTAACCCCTTTGAACTTCTGCTGAGGTTCACATGTGGGTTTCCACCTAAAGCCACAGAGCAACAGACCCGCGGCCAAACGCTGACCTGGCACCGAGCAGTGATGCTGCTCCAAAGGAACTGCTGGGATAACACCTGCATCCTACCTGGGAAACTGCTGGGATAACACCTGCATCCTACCTGAGAAACTGCTGGAACAACACCTGCATCCTACCTGAGAAACTGCTGGGATAACACCTACATCTTACCTGAGAAACTGCTGGAACAACACCTGCATCCTACCGGAGAAACTGCTGGGATAACACCTGCATCTTACCTGAGGAACTGCTGGAACAACACCTGCATCCTACCTGAGAAACTGCTGGAACAACATCTGCATCCTACCTGAGAAACTGCTGGGATAACACCTGCATCTTACCTGAGAAACTGCTGGAACAACACCTGCATCCTACCTGAGAAACTGCTGGGATAACACCTGCATCCTACCTGGAAACTGCTGGGATAACACCTGCATCCTACCTGAGAATGTTTGGATAATGCCTGCATCCAGCCTGAGAAATTGTTGGAATAACACCTGCATTCAGCTTGAGAAACTCATGAAGGCACTTTCTTTTCCCAAATAAACCTACTCTGAGCAGCTACATCTCACACAGACACAGGGATTCTGTAAGCACCACTCATCAGAGAAGGATGATTAAGGGTCAGAGAGCAGGGATAGATGGGATACTGGGAAGGAATTGTTCCCTGGGTGGGTGGGCAGGCCCTGGCACAGGGTGCCCAGAGAAGCTGTGGCTGCCCCTGGGTCCCTGGAAGTGTCCAAAGCCAGGCTGGATGGGGTTTGGAGCAGCCTGGGATGGTTGAAGGTGTCTCTGCCCATGGCTCATCTGAGATGAGCTTTGAGGTCCTTTCCAACCCAAACCATTCCATGATTTCTGGAGGATGATTGCTCATCCTGAGTGCTTCAAGCCTCACAGGAGAGGATGAAGCCAGCTGTTGATGGCATTAGGAAATCCACATTATTGTAACATCCTCCAGCACATCACAATTTGCTGTAGAGGTTCTTCTAGACCCTGCAAAGACCCGCTGGTCACAGACTGAGGGAAAGGAGAGGAACTGGAACCCAATGAAGTGGCTGACAAAGGGCTGCCACATCTGTCACTTCTTCCAGAGGTCAGTGATGGCCCCATCTGGCTTTTCTGGGCCTCCTCCTTTAATGAGCTAATCTAACCCAGCAGCTGAAATCCCATCAACTCAACCAAATCCACCTCTGGAGATTAAAATATCATATTCACCAAGTAAAGACATTTCTCTGAGCTCCCATGAACCTCATGGCTGAGGGAAGAGTCAGCAAAGCCATCCTCCCATGGGAGAAAATCCTGTTACCCCAGAGCTGGAGAGAGCCAATAATTAATCCATAATTAATCTCAGGTCTCAGGAAACCTGAACTTGTTTCTCTGGTGACTCTTCAGAACTTGTTCCAAACGGTCATTGAGGGGTCTCACCAAGAGGTCCCCAGCTGCTCTGTGGGAGGGTGGGCTGCACTCACAATTAGGGATTAGGGGAGAGACTGAAATCCTGATGCAGGATCACAGATTATTTTCTCATGTCCATGGCAGAGCACAACTGGTTGCACAGAGGTCAGAAGAAATGCTGTGCTGGATCTCTCAGGGCTGAGTGTCATGAACCTGGGACTTTCTCATGTTCTGATGGATGTGACCTTCTCTTTTCCTTTCTCTTCCATGCTTTGAAGTTCAGAGCGCTGTGGAAGGACACCTGACTCACTCAGTGCTCGTTTCCTTCCCCATGGGCCAGACTTTCCAGTCCCAGCTCACGCATCCCAGCCCCCAGGAGTGCTGCAGGAAGCACCTTCCCTCACCCATTGGGGTGGCTTTCTGGGGTAAAAGTCTGCAGAGGGGCAGGCGAGTGCTGGGGATTCTATTTCTTTATTTAGCATTTTAATTGATTTAATCCAGAAAATTCTGAAGGGCCCCTCCTCCTCATCCTGCTCAGGGAAGGGGTTGTGGCCTCAGGCTCCTGCACAGATCCCAGCACTGGCTGCTCACCATTACCATGGAATTAGTTGGGATTTTGACATTCTTTTAATGTCACAGCTGCAAAAGGTGCAAAAGATGCTCAACACAGGCAGGCACAAGACACAAGAACCAGTGAGACATCAGACTTCACACAGGGAGGCACATCCTGCCACAGGCTCTGGGGACTGGGGGGACATCTGAGGTATCCCAGCCCACCCTGCTGTCCCTGCTGCTCACCCAGCCCGTTTGCACACTCGTAGAAGTCGAAGCAGTGCACAGCTCGATCCATCCCATATGGTCCCATGAGTGTCCTGAGGGAGACAAGAGGAGCAGCTTTCTGTCACAGGCCAAAAAGAACAAAGGCACAGCCAGCACACAGAGGCACACTGTCCCTTCCACCTGCCCACCAGGCACTGCAGCCCCACCAGGCACCCACAGAACTCAGCCCCCAGCCAGCCCCCCCGAGGTTTACACAGATAAATGAGAGAATATGTGCAGGGCTGAACATCATCCTCCCCACCCAGCAAATCTGATGGACCTGTCTGTGATTCATTACCCCAGATTATCGGGGCTGGACAGCTGTGCAGCTCCCGGGAAATGAGATCAGAGCTCGGACCCGTGTGTCCAAATAAAGCAGTTTCACAAACACAGGCAGCCTGTAATGAACACAGCCGGGCACAATGTGCTCTCAGGGGTTTTTATGCAGGCAGAGGGTCTGGAAAAGGGGATGCAAGAGCTGCTCCTAGTCCTGCTTGGTCTGGTGGGAGCTTCTCATCACACACCAGAGTGGGTAGAAGAGCATCACACACACCTGAGATTCCCCCAAGCCAAGTAACTCCTCAAAACATCCCACAGTCTCCCCCCAAACCCCCTTAGGCAAGGTCCCAAATGAATGACCCCAAAACACCCTGCCCCAACCACAGATGTCAGACTCCAAACCAGGGACCACCAGCACTTCTCATTGGGCTCATCAGGATGGATGAACCCTGATCTGAGAAACCCTGTCCCAGATGTGCCAGGTGGGAAACCACAGCTGAGGAGGTACCAAAAAACTCCCCAGCACTTAAGTCACAATAGAAAAGGTTTCTCAGTCGATGTCACGTCCCAGATCTGAACATGGATGAGGAAGAACAACACTGTGGGAAACAAGAGGCTGCTCCAAATCCAGCGAGATGCAGGATAAGAGTAACCTGCAGGGACTTACCAGGAGTCCAAAATAAAACTCAAAACATTGAGCTACCCTGCAAAGCCAGTAACTTCCACCTCTAAGATTGGGACTGGAAGTGTTTTCTCCCTGTTAAAGAATGCCTCTCCTTGCTATCCTTGCACTGTACTGAAGACTGAACAAACAACTGGCCACATCTGGCTATTGAAAAATGGAGCTCGTAGGCATCCCAGGAAGGCAGAGCAGCCCTGGGCCCAGGCTGGTTCAATCCCCCACCCAGGATTCTCAGGGTATTTTGAGTAAATCACCGAGGAAATTCCCCGGGTGAGCCCTGGGCGCTCGGGGCAGGCTGGAAGGCACCATACGGACGCAGTTTCAGCAGAGCAGATGCCTCCATGATATGATGAGCTCTTATCATCATCCCCCTGTGATCAACTCTTATCATCATCCCCATCATCCCCACTCTGGGGCACAGCAGCCCCGAGCTCTGCTAATGCCACCGGCGCAGAAAACCCAACCAGTGATGGCGTCCTGGGCTCTTCCAGCAATCCCTGCATCCCGACCCTGCTCCTGGAGGAGCCACAGAGAAGAACCTGGGCTGGAAGGAGAAGCCACGGGACTCCTGGGACCCCCTCCCCACTCCCACCCCAGCTGGGGGAGGTTACCTGCTGATGATGATGGCTCCCTTGTAAAGGACAGAGACCGCGGGCATCTTTGCCGGCGGTGGCAGCCCGGCCCTGCCAGCACCAGCCGCTCTGATTTGGCAGGAATCCGTTAAAGGGATGGGGAAAAAAAAATGGAAAAAGAAAAAAGGGGGAGGTCGGAGGGCATCACGTGGTCTCCCTGTATGCATGTTAATTCCACCCAACATTAACACAGATCGGCTCAAAACATCTCCAACTTTAGATTAAAGCTTACGCAAGCTGGAGCCAGCGCGGCCCATCTGAGCGCCTTCCCAAAGCGCGGGGCTGGAGCTCCTGCAGCCCCGAGCAGGGCTGGCCCCTCATCCTCAACACAACTCAGGGGATTACTTGGAATGCACTGTTGGGAATGGCCCCACCAGGGATGAAGGAAGGGCAGCATTCCATGTGGGACGTGTGCAGTCACCGTCCCTAAAGGATTAAAATCCATAGCAAAGCTTTGGAAGCACTAACAGACCGTGGCACTGAGAGGGTTTAGGGTTGGTGTTGATTTTTGGGGATTTTTGGGTTCATTTTGTTTTGTTTTGTTTTAGCATCTTTTCCAGCCCACGATATTTTCTTCTTAGTGCAGAACAAGTTCAGCTGTCCTCCTGTCTGCTGGGAGGTCAGAAGCCTGATTTGCCTTTGAACAGCTTCTTCCATCCCTATCATGGTGCCACCATCCAATTGGAGAAGCATCAGGACCACTGTCTTGTGGGATGGGGGCATGGAGGAATGAAAGAAAATTATCCAGGGTTTGCCAGTGAGTGGGAATGGAGCAGAACAGCCACCTCGGGGCTTGGCAGGAGTAGGGCTGCGATCCTGGGGGAGAAGATCTGGTGACCTTTCCTGAGAAGGGAAGTGTACTCCCCTGGACCTGCAGGAGGATGCTGGTCCTGCATCCCAACCAGCCCTGAGGACATCTGAGGTCACAGGGAAGCTTTTGGCCCCGACTCCATCAGCGGTGTCCTCCTCGTGCTGTTCCCACAGCGTCTCCGCAGGCTCCTGGCCAGGCCCCATTAGTGGCCCTTGACCTCGTTAGGGGAGCACTGAGTGCAGTGGACGTGCCTGCCTGGCACTGCCACTCCTTGCCAAACCATTCCTTGAGTCCAAGCTGCTGGATGTTGCTGTTCCCATGAGTGAGCTGATTTTATCAGCCGGAGCTTCCCTGATGGCCTCATGTGAAGCCTCGCTGGGCAAGTACAAGGTTTCAAAACAATGACAAATTAGAAAAGTCCTCCTATGTTTTGTCTTTTTTTTTTTTCCTTTAAAATGCTTTCATTTGAAGACATTTAGATGTCCTATAAAATCTGAGTAAATTTGGCCTTCAGACAGCCAAAACTTTCCTAAAAATTAAATGATCTAGCTAAAAAAATAAAATTTAGATGAGTAATGCCAACTAGACAAACATAGATGCATCTGGTGATGGACACACTGTGCACACCCCAGCACAGCAGGATGTGCCCAAAGCCAGCTCATGCCCATGTCAGGGCTTTGGCCAAACCAGACCAAGCACAAGGGGTGCTACCTGGGCCCATCTCCAAATCTGTTGGGCACTGAAGCCTTCAAGAGCCTCACAAACCTGTCCATCCCCTCAGTAACCCAACAGCAGCGAGATGCTCTTTCTCCTGCCATCCCACAGAAAATGATCAGGGTTTGGAGAGCCAAAAATTAAGGCAGGAGGTTCCAACACCTGGTGACCACCAGCTCTGGCTCTCGCTGACCCGTTCAAGGCTGGCAGAACATGCACAGGAATTCAGTGGTGGGCTGTGGAACCCTCCCTCTGTGCCTGCTCTACAATGGGAGCTGTTCCACACCAGGGCACAGCTCCCTGAGGGGCAGGACAGTCCTGGCACCATGCCCAGCTTGGGGTGACCTTTTTGGACACCCCTCAGCCAGCAGCCTCCTGCCACTCACACTCAGGATCATGCTCCAAGTCCTCTGATGCATCAATGGTGAGAGGAAGAGACATTTCCATCCCACCACCAAAAAATACCACATACAACCTTCCAAGATCCTTTGGGACTCTGCTAATGCATTGTCACACAATGCCAGAGTCTTGGCTGGAGTAAATCAGGGATGCTGAAGGGAAGGGATTGCACAAGCACCAGAGGCAATGGCAACAGGATGAAGCAGAATTACTGGCACAGGGTGTCCAAAGAAGCTGTGGCTGCCCCATCCCTGGAAATCTCCAAGGCCAGGTTGGAAGGGGTCCATCCCCATGTCAGGGATGGAATGAGATGATTTTTAAGGTCCCTTCCAACTGAAGGCATTCTGTAACTCTGTGATAAGAGACCAGTTTCAGAGGGGCTGCAGGAAAGCTCACTAGAGTCAGGCCAACCCAAAACTTGCAGGGAAATAGGAAAATTTTCCTGCCTGGCACTTCAGTAGTTCACCCACCCTGATTCCTGCATCTGAGGGAACAATTCTGCACTCAGAGTTAAACAGATGTGTTCAGGGCCCAACACCTCTGACATGAAGTCCTTCGCTTGCCCAAGGCTTGGATTCCTGGTCCTTCCCACTTTGTGGGATGTTGCAATAAACCACACGCTTGTCCACAAGCTGGTAAAATAAATGAAAACCAAATCCAAGAGGCCCTCAGGGAAGAGGAGCAGTGCTCAGCTTCCAACTCTCCCTCCAAACTCTGAATTCCATCCTCCAAAACACACACCAAGCCTGGCAAAAGCATCAGACACTGCTGCTGAACACATCTCTTATCAGAGGAAGTTTCAACAGAAACTATTCAGAGGATTTTCAATGATTTAAGAGTTGGAATTACATTCAGGAAGGATTTCTAAGCCCCCTGTGGTCTACCTGAGGGTCCCAGGACTAATTTGTATAACCAGTGTTGAAGGCAAACATCCTGCTGGAAAAGGGCTTGTCCTGTGTGCTCAAGATCCTTATGGAGCTGGGACCCAGCTGAGCAACTCCAAGTTAATCCAGGTTTCTTTTTCCATAGAACTGCTGGTGAGACTTTAGATTTTTAAATAAATGAGAGAATAGGAGTATGAATTAAGAACAATGGGGCTGGACAGCAGATAAACACATGCTTCACTCGTTTGTCCACTTTTTCATAGACTGTTAGAAAAATGAGTTTAAAACTTATTGAAATTTTTTTTTTTCTCAATGGAAAAAATGTTTTTCCTTGGAAAAAATATTTTTGTAGAAGTTGAGTGAAACTGTATAAATCAGCTTTACTTAACACTACCACTTATAGGCAGGGATGGGTGAAACTGTAAATAGAATCAAAATAAGTCTTGGAGCAGGAGCACAGAGTTAAAAATGCTGGGTCAGCACGAGTCAGGTGCATTTCCAGTATATTTTTCTGAGAGAGCATGAAGAGGGAAGTGTGGGAGAGTGAAACTGGGAGTGCTGGGGAGAGGCACAGAAACCACTGCCAAGAGGAAGCAGTGGAGAAGGTGGTGATGGGTTTGGGTTTCAGAAAGAAAAGAGGGGAAAAGAGTGGCTGAAACAAGTACAACCAATGGTAAAGTTATGATAAAAATTAACTCGGGTCTGCTCTTGTCCTTCCTACCCAGACAACAGGCAAACAGAGCTGGGAATCACGAGGGGAGTGATGGGTTTGAAGTCACTGGGAGTGTTGGCATCACACTGTCAACATGTCCAGCAGCAAATGGGAAAACATCACTCAAGGCTCATCTCTCATGAAACACTTCCACTTGAAACTGGAGGCACAGTGAGTTCTCCCCCAGCCAAACAGCCCTTCACAGCCTGGCTGTTAATGTATTCCATATCTACCTGTGCCCAAAAGCTGTGGTCCAGAACCAAGACATGGGGTCATCTCCATGTTAAGGCCTTACAAGAAATGGAAGCATCATCTCCTCAGCTGTTCCAGCCCTTCCATGGAGGCTAAAGCCAGGAACCAGGGGTGGGGAGCAGCTGAGCCCAGGCATGGCCAGACCCCATGGGGATGTCCAGCCTGGCCACATCCCACAGCAGCATCCCTGGGTGATCCCAGGGATCCAGCCAGGGCCACACCATCCCAAAAATGGGACAGCCCCAGAAAGGATCCTGAGCTTGGGCAAGCAGTGGCACAAGGAAGGGGAAGGGGAAGGGGAAGGGAGGTTGTGCTGACAGCAGCACCCCTGAGCCGCAGGGAGCCTCTGTGCCTGGCTGAGCGGAAGAACAGGGTCCAGGTAGGTTTGCGTGGGTGGGAATTAGAGGTGGAAGGACATCCTGCAGTGGAAGTGAGATCTGTCTGAGGCCTTTCAGCTCCGGAAAGTGGCATTAAGAAGGTTGAAGGTGGGAGGGCTCACCCCAGCAGGGCACTGGGTCACGGTCTCTGCCATCCTCCCAGCGACTCCAGGGAGCCATGGGCTGCCCAGGCAGGCACTGGAACACTGGATCATTACTGAGTGAGTTCATTTCATGACACAACAAAATTAGCACAGGCTGCAGAATCTTTTACATCTGGTTGGAAAATGGAAAAATGCAATTGTGCTGCTTGCAGGATCAGCTGCAAAGTGTTGGGGATAAATCAAAAAATCAATCAGCTGCTCTGGATCTGGGGAGGAGCTGCCCACAGTCCCAGTGCAGCCCATGGAGTTCTCATAACAAGAACCCATGGAGTCACTTCAGATGAGCTCAGGAGATTGGAGATGCTCACAGACAAGTCTGAACAGAAGAGGGAACAAACAACCACGGAATACCAGGTTGGAAGGGACCTCAAAGAGCACTTGGTGCAACCTTTCTCGTCAAAAGCCCAGCACCCTGCCCAGCTGAACCTTGAAAGTCTCCAACACTGGGGAATGCACCAATTCCCTGGGGAAGTGATTCCAAAGGCTGATTGTTCCCATTAGGAAAAGTTTTCCTCTCATGTCCAGCTGGAACCACTCCAGGAGTAACTCGCACCCAAAGGAGTGCCAAAGTTGGAAGGAAGCAGGCAGGTCCTACAGAGCACCCAGGGATGGGCAGTCCTGGGCTCCCATCCCAGCCCAGGGCTCAGCCTCTCCCTGGGCACCCACCTGGATGTGGGCAGAGGGTGGAGGCAGGTGCAGCCAGCCCTGGGGTGTGACGCTGCTCCTTCCTTCATCCGCATGGGCAGGGCTGCCAACCATCCCACAGCCCTGTCCCCACAGCCCACCAGCACTTT